ATCCCACCTGGCTTCTGCAGCCAAGGTGTGAGACAGACATGATGTGTGGAATCTGGAAAAGGGTGAACACCTGCTTTTGCTTTCATGGTTTTTTTCTGGTGAGCTTTTCCTGGCAGAATCCTGGAGTCTGGGCTTTTAGATGCCTTTGGTACAACTGGCTGCTTGTTTTCTGATTCCTAAACTTATTGTGTAAGCTATAACTTCAGAAAATTGTAATTGAACTTGAGGATTTATCTCGTCTTTATTTTTTTGAAGATAACAGTGGGTTGTAGTAAAATCTGGTTTTAGTTCTCTCCAATAAAGGAAGACGTTTGAACAGTATAAAAAAGACATTTCCTTGGAAAGTGAAAATGTGTGTGAGACTTATTGTCTTGTGTTTTTATGAACCACACAGTGCCTCTAAATGTATTTTGGTCTTTAATGGTCATAAAGTTAACTTTATGTCGTTATTTATTTATAATACTTATGACATCTCGTATAAAACTCAGTCATACTATGCCATTTCTGTGTGTAAATATTTTTTCAAAATAATTTTATTTAAAAGCAAACAGTGTTCTATGCTCTTCAGTTTAACATGACAAAAATCTGAAGCATGATTGTTAAACTGCAATCTGACTTGATGGTTCCACAGCAGGACTGACATCTTGAAAATACAGTAACTCATCACATTTAGATTTAAATTCCAGCTCTTGACTGGACACAGCTATGTCTGTGGGTGTATTAGGTGCCCTGTGTACCTGGATGAATTTATTGCAGTTTTGTACTGTTGTACTGCAGTACTTTTGTCCTTTTTTCCCCAAACAGTTGTAGGAATGTTTCTTGCAGGTAAGAAGTCAGTTTTAGTGGGCTGCACCTGAAACACAGAGGTGATAGAGTTCATTCTTATTCCCCATTCTGCATCTTATGGGGACAGACATATTTTTATGGCCATCCCTTTGATCAGAAGTGACTGAACTTAAGCAGGTAAAGTTTGTCCAATAATAATTTCATTCCTGAGCTTCACCAAGCACAGATTTAATCCTTCTGCTCCAGTGTAACTTTTCTGGAGGCAGCATTGGCAAACGCCTTGGATTATTTTAGGGCAGATGTTTTGCCTCCTTCTTGTGTGTAAGTGCTGATAAACAAACAAATGAAAATCAATAATTACTTACCAAGGTTGATACGTCCTTAAAAATTGATCCAGCCTCTGCTGAAACGCCATAAATTACCCCGTTTCTAAAAAGAAACTCGGGGTGTTGCAACAATTTACCTGAGGGGGGTTTTGTAGAGAAATATTATGGAATTCTGCACACATGCAATATTGGAATGTGTGAAGTGAAATAGCAGGGGCACCCTATTTCCAAATAGTTTTTTTTTTAAGATATTGCTCTCAGTTGCACTTGGGGCATCTGAATGCCTTAGTTAATATCCAAGCCTGCAGTTGTTATTGTGGTAAAATGATAGTGTGAAATTGCTGCTGTTATACTATAACAATAAGGACGTGACTCATGTATTTTATGTACACATGCATTCAACTGTAGTGACAAATGGCTTCATGCTGTGTGATTAAATGCATATTAGCATTTGCCCTAGGCATTTGATTATTACCATCTTTACTTCATTACATTACCACACTGTATGGCCATATAATTTATAAGATAATACAGACATCACTTTGTTGCTGATAGGAATTATTCTGTTTTATGGATGGTGTCCTTTAATTTTGCCTTTCATGGATTATAAAATTGGTTAATATCTGCTGAAGTGAATCACTGGAGAAGCAAATAAAGATGTTGGCCTCGGGTCACAGTGTCATTTGTGATACTGGCAAAATCTTACAGCCTCATTTATCCCTGTACATGATTGATAACACCATGGGTTAAATGGAGAAAGCTTTGCTTCCATTAAAGGATCATCATGAATGAAGACCTCCCACTTAAAAGTCAGGCATGATGAGAAGACAAGAGACTATCTACAGGTCAAATTAAATAACTTAAATAATTTAAGTGGAATGACAGTGTAATTTGTTCATTCTGTGTTATTACCCTGACCCCTATCAGGCTTATAGGCTAACTTACTTTCTAGTGTAGGGTATTTAAGATGTAATTTTTAATAAGTGCTTTTCAAAGATATAAAGCCCTTTATAACACTTAAAAATGTGTTAAAATGGATTTTTTTAATGTGCTTTTTAAAAAGTAATTTTTGTCCTTATTTTGTTAAACGTAAAGCAAATAATAGGAAAGCAAATATAGTAAATGCTTCAAAATAGGAACTTCAATCTTTCCTTTTCAGACAGTTATCATATATATGCTTCAGATTTTTTTTTTTAATTATTTTCCAGGTATTCTGACAAATACCAATTGCTAAAGTAAAAATGCATCTCTTTGGAAATATCTTTTGATTACACAAGAATTTTTTTAAATTTTCTGGGATGAAGGGCATTTATTATTTATCACGTAGCTCTGCAGTGGCTCTAGAGGATTGTATTGATGTGTGATATCGAAAGTAGGCATTTTATCAGCCTGGTAGGTATTTTATTTTGTGTATTTTAGTTTCTAGCCAAGCAAACTCGTGTGCAGGTAACTGAGTTCTTTGATCTCTCAGCGGTGGAAGAGACCACGGAGGTGTCCGGCGCTGAATTCCGAGGAGGGCAGGAGGGAGTGTGTCTAACACACACTGTCCCTTGCAGATTCCAGCAGTAGGCTGGGAAGCATTTTTTGTTGCAGTTTTGGAAAAGCTGCCTGAGTACAAATTGCCCGTGAGAAAATAGTACTGTCAGGCTGAAGGGATGGGGGAAGACTCAATGAGCTTCGCTCAGGAAAGAGGGAAGGTGTTTATCCTCACTCACGGCTTAGGGAGGGGAAGCCTTGTTTGTTAAGTGCTCCTGCTGAGATCACTGAGCTGAGAGAAAGCCCATGGATGCCTGAGGCCCTTTTTCTTCTGTCCCTCAGAGTATAGCCTTGGTTTGAAAACATCCCCTTGAGAAAATAATTCTCAGATTGCTTCTGTGATGGGAAGGAAAAATCAGAAGCCCCGGTGTGTATCAGTTAATGTACATTCTTCTACTGGCTGACCTGAACAGAGATTATTTCATAGCTGAAGTTCACTTCTTCAAGTGCACCTGCCTTTGTGGGATGGATCCTTTTTCTGAGCCAGGTTTTTCACAGGCACTTTTAATTTTTTTTTCCCCTTATTAACACAGGCTACCAGGATTCTCCATGTGGTACCAGCACTGTCTTGTAGAAATCCATCGCTTTAGGATTGCCTAACTCCAAACCTGTAATGTCACCTGACAGCAATGGAATTAGAGCATGCATCATTATATTTGCAAAAGTGTCCTCTTCAGATCAAAATATAGGATGAGTGAAAGTGAAATCAAATGGCTCTCTGCCTAATCTATTGGGCATAATATGACCATTTTTATTGGATTTATAGCTATGATCATCTCCCAGTACTTGATATCAGAAGTTTGTTTGTGGTAGTTCTTCATCAGTTATTGGTGCAACATCTCAGTAAGGAAACAGTTTTGAAAACTTGAGTGAAGCAAACAAAATTTTCAATGTGCTTTTGGGAGAGTGTGAGTTCACCGATTCTAAATTCTTTGGCTAAAATATAAGTAGTGGTTTTTTTATCCTAATGTTTTTCTTTAAAAAAACCCCGTGTCTAAAATGTATGCAGATTGCCTGCACAGTGCCTGATTCATGTTGGCACATTGACACAACAGATTTGCTGCCTGAAGTGGTGCTTGTTTATACATGGTTCTTATTCAGACTTGATTTGCTGCCTCTTCAGAAGTCCTTCAAACACACACATTTTGACACCGACAAAAGAATTTATATATTTCATACTGAGCAGTTCAGTGTTGGTCATATGTTTGAAAATGAAAGGCAAAAATGAGCCTGATTTGTCTGTTTTTAGCAAACCCATTGTTTCACTAACAAAATAACTTTGGTGGTGGGGCAACTGAGCAAGGAGTCAATCTATTATCCATGACCAGCAGCTTAAACGTGATCTATGTGAGGGGTTTATTTAGACAACAGCAGAAAAAGTGGTGAGCCCTGATTTGTAGTTGTTATGGCCCCATGATACAGACCAGGTCTCTGTTCTTCCTGCAGGAATTCTTTCCTAGAGGTTCTGTGGCAGCAGCCAGGTCAGTCATAACTCCTGTACTCTAACCCTACCTCTGTAATTCTTAGTGCAGAGACACACACGGGGTGTCTCTGGGAGGGACAGGGTCCTGTATTCTAGTGGACTGGTGAAAATTCAGGCTCAAGAATTAAAAATTATAATCTGGGAAGTACAGATGAAGTGTGTGCACTTGTTCTGGTTTTGTGAATAAAATGTGAAATAAAATTTTTATGAATAAATCACCTCTGATGTCACTAACAAACACGCTTCATTCTAACAGAGGCACCTGGGGCTCATGTTAGCACAACTCCTTGCTTGACAACAGTTGATGCAGCTGGCTTAGAGTGCAACATTTTGATACTTGATCTAGTAGTAGCAGAATCAGAAAGTTTCCTTGTTAAAATTCAGAAGCAAGGACTGTGAGTATTACCTTGAGTTCTTAATTTCAGGCCAGTCTGAAGGTTTCCTTTAAAAGTGAGCCCGTGTTGTGATTTTTGAAATCTTGTAGGTAGGCAGTTACTTTTTCATGGCCTGATGCATTAACTGCAGCACCTTCATGCCAGTGCAGGGCAGGAGATCTAGAAAACAGCCCGTGCTATTTCTTTGTGCTCATAGTCTTTGTTTTTAAAACTAAAACCAAACCAAAAAATAAAGGAGAGAAGGAAAGGAATACTCCTTTCACAGAAATCACAGAAATCCTGTGGATTACTGATAAAGCTGTTTGTTTTCTTTTACAATATTGCACACAAATTTGAAATGGAAATGTTGCTAACTGCACAATGGCTGCAGTTGGTAGTTTTACTCTTTTCAAAAATGAGTTCGCTTCCATATTTGCGAGTTTTGCAGTTTGAATGTTCTCTTAAACCGGAGAGGAAATGCACATCTTAGTTTTGCAGAAGCAAGTTGGAAGAATGGATGAAGACTTCAAAGCCCAGGCACTTGACTCCACTCTGCAGAGTCCATCGGAGACGTTACTTTCCATTCGACTGTTGGACTTCAAGACGAGTTTGTTGGAGGCAATAGAAGAGCTGCGGATCAGAAGGGTAAATTTGTTTGTATTGGTTTTAGTGTCTTTGTCTTGTCTCTGTCTCCCTGTGTGTGTAATCAGAGAAAATGCTGCAGAAGTGTGCCTGTATTTTAAGTAACTCACCAGCCAGGGTTTTGTTTAAAAATATCCTAGGCTTAGGTAGTGTCTGTATGACAGATTTCTCTGTAGACACCACAAAGACAACAGGGTGGTAGGGGAATGAATTTGGTTTTCCTGTGCTAGTGTGTAGAGTTGATGGTTGATGACCAGGCTATTGACAAAATTATCTGCATTAAATTTTTGCATTTCATTGTAGTTCTTCTCTTTAAGAACAGACTTTGACAGAAAAGAAAGAATCCAAGTAATTGCCAAGTCCCTAAGTCTTTCTCTTTTCATAATTGATTTGGCATTTGGCAGAAGAGCAGTGATTTTTTACTTATTTTTGTCCATTTATTTGTGCTCTTCAGAATTACATAAGAGGGCAAAGAGCTACTGTGATAACTTTATTTCACCATTTTTAAATTGCTAGACTATTAAGCTAGATCCCTGCAATAACAGTGCATTGAGTATTCAGGGTGGGGGTATTTTTTTTTTTAACTGTGAGTTGAATCATCTTGTAGTACCAAGGTAAAATTGATTCTGCACTGGTGAAGGCAGCTGTGTTTTCCTGTAGTTAATTTTTCAGTTGTATTTTTCCCTGGTTCCTTTTTTAGTTGTGTGTGTGTGTGTAAACATTTGGTTCTATTTCCCCCCTCAGTGTTCCTGAACTGTATATTGTGTATATGGAAAGACCCAAAGTGTATCTTGCTTCATTTGATGAATTTGACCTGTTCAAAATATCTGTATTATTACTTTTAAAATATTAGTATTGATGACATGCTTGATTTATGCTTATTTTGATCTAAGTTAAATGCTATAATCCTCTCTTCAAAAGCCATAAACAAAAGAATGACTGCCATAAACAAAAGAATGACTGCCATAAAATAAAAAGTAGAAAAAGGCTGCATGATGCTGCCTTCTTGGTGCAGTATTGTTGAAATCCAGCATGGTCTGATCCCCAGACCTGTGTTACAATGGTAGTGTTTGCTCCAGCCTAACTATTCTTGTATTAAAAAGTAAAGACTGAGTAGTTTATTCTAATAATTGCAGTATATTTTCTTTATAAGATCTGTTAGCTGAATTCCATTTACATTGTTAACTTAACCTTGCATTTTTGATGCACTTGGTCAGAGCCTGCAGTCTTTATGGAGTGCTCTGGAGTTTCATCTTTGGGGATTTTTTTTTGGTTTTTTTGGTCTGTTTTTGTTTGTCTGCTATACTACAAGATTACATGACTGTGATTTTATAAAATTACTTCACCCTGTGAAGGTGAGTAATTTTTTACCTTAAAGGTATTTTTAGTTTCAAAACTGATGCAAATGCCAATTCCACAGTTAAGACGTGGCCCTAAGGTCCTAAAATAGCTGTGCTTTCCTTTACCCTAAAAATATATATATTTTTTTATATTTACCTGTTTAGGTGGAAATTTAGGTAAAAAAAAGGTTGAGCGTTTTACAGGCAGCCAGTTTGAAATCTTCAAGTATCCCTGGATGCATCTTGTTTTGTTTTGATTTAACAATCATTTCAGGGCTGCTTGCTTAGTATGTTTGAAATTTGGAATATAAAGCATTAATATTTTGAACAAGCAAGGGTTATAGAATAATATGGCTGTGCCTGATGCCATCTTTTTAAGTAGAACTTTGTATGGATGTTTTTGCCCAAAAAAAAGCCATCTACAAAATCCTCTCCTGATTTTAGGCATGAATTTTTTTACAAATTCAACCAACATGAGGTTATTCTGTCAACCAGCCCTGAGAAGAAGGTAGTACAGGGGTAACTCAGAGGATTACTGTACTTGTCCTGCACCCTGCTCATTTTTCCACGGACAAGAAAGAAACATAAAAACTGTGTCATCTGCTCCATAAGAAAGCAAAGGAAAAGTTGCAGTTCTGCAGGTTTCTTGCTACTTTTACCACTTCTTTTCCAGGTTCTAGTGGGGTTCAGGAGACTTGACAGCCTGAGGGAGGCAGCAGAGCCAGTAGGGTGCATTTCACTCTCAATTTTGTCTTTGACCTCTGGCTTGACCTTAGATGAGATTACTTTACATCTGTTTGCTTCTGTTTTTCTTCCCGTTGTTGGTCTTGCTTGTCACTTGGGAGATTCTTCAGGACAGGAACTTTTGTGTATTTTGAATTTAATAAACTGCCTTGGATGGTTGGTTAAGCTGCAGTATAAATTCAGATTAATAAAAATAAATTTGGAGATGAAATTAGCAGTGTGAAGATAGACAGATGAAAATCAAACTCTTAAATATGAAAATATTTTGAGAGACTTGATGCAGTCCTTACTTGATGTCATCAGATACTATTTTAAAGTAGAAATATCTTTTTTTTTTTTCCTGAATATGCTTATTCAAATCATGGAGTTACTTCAAAGCATCTCTCAGTTTTTCTTGGTTAAATGTATAGTTGTATTAAATTCTCAAAAATAGTTTGAGGATTTTCTCAAAGTAAGTGAGATGAAATCCCAGGCAGATGAAATCCCAGTCACTGATAGCTGTGGCTGTTTGTTCTAAAGAATAAATTGCTTAAATGCTAATACTTGATACAGCTTCACTTTATTCTTTTGGCTGTTCCATAGGGTCTTTGTTCTCAATATGAATTGACATAATATGAATATGTATGTAATTAAAACCTACCAAAAATTACATTTCTATTTCTTCTTCCCCCCCAGGGATTACTTCACACTCCAGTAGTTTGAATGTCCTATTTTTTTTTTTTCCAGTTTAGCTTTCCCACTCATCAAACACTGATCAGGGATTCTTTTGTGCTGGGTATCCCATTCACTTTGTTCCAGGTCTGCCAGCCTCGATCCACAGTCAGCTGAGTGCATCTTATTGGGTTATAAGAGATGATCCTTTGCTTAAGGGATAAATATAATCAATTTTGGCAGCATGAAGCTGTGGAGTAATAGGTCAAATTGGAAGTCTTTAATGCTTTCTGAAGTATAATACATGTAGGACAACTGACATTAGGTCTAAGAAAAATGTTTACAAGGACAAGAAAGCAGATATATTGTGTGATTTTCTTCCTTGTCCTAGATACCAAAAAAACATCCTTAGGCAGAAAAGCATGTAAACATAAGAAATCAAGGGAATTCTAACACCCTGGGGGCATGGATGGTTTTAAGTAGCAGTTGAAGCACCGTGGATGTTGATTGGCTGAACACAAGGAAGATAAATTTTAGTGATGATTTGTAAAATTTTAGTAATGTTTTATTTGGTGCAAAGGATAAGCGTCAGTGACCTGTTTCCATACCTGAAAACAAGCAGCTGTTGAGGCTCTTTCTGGTGTTAACTGAGACCTCATAAAGCCTGGGTGATGCTATAGATTCTGTCCTTTGTGCCTTGAATTTATTAACTTTGATACTCTTCTGTTTAGTCAAAGTGACAAACAATAAATTTTACTCTTTTCTCTTTGAGCAGTTATGATATAGGTATAACTTGGTAGTGCTTCTCTTTTAACTAAAATACTTAGTAATTTTTTCCAGCTCTCAAATTTTCTTGTGTTTCTCGCAAGGGTAATATTTGCCATAAAAGAAAACTGTTATATTAAAGAACATTAGATTTCCAAAGAGCATTGATTTTACCCATAAAAAACATTTTCTGTGTTCAAATAAAGATTTTAATATAGGATTCTTTAGAATCCTGGACAAACTCTCACCTCCCACCCCAAAAAACCCACGACCCTTTGTAAATTGAAGCCATATTGACTTGCTGTTACTGGTACTTACCACTCTACTATTTGACATCAAGCACTACATGAAACTTTGGCCTTGCTTGAGCCAAAGGAGTGTGTTGATGTAGCAGGTGGCATTAGAACCAGCCACCAGAAGGGGGGATAAGATGTCTGATTGGCTAAGATTTTCTACCTGTGCTCACAGGAGTTTCATATCTGATCACAGCACAGAAATGTGGGGTCTCAGAATTCATTCTGCAATCAGTTCCATGTTGTGGACAGGAATATTCTTTAAAAGCTGGTTGGTGCTATCATTTTGCTGTTCACTCACTTTCCCTGCCCTTATTGCTCTTTTCCCCTCTTTCTTTCCCCTGTTTTTCTGAGTTTCTGTTGCTTTCTGTCTTCTACCTTCTTCTGTTTTGATATGTGAGACCTTTTGGTGCTTACCCATTTCCATGCTGATGCCAGTGAGCAGCCACTGAGGAAGAAAACACAAGAAGGATATTTACTTATTTGCTAAAATAAGTAAATCCTGACTCACATCTCTTGCCATGCTGCAGACAGACATTATGGCTCTCACAACACCTCTCCTGGATTTTTTTTTCCTGGTTGCTGTTCTCAGATGCCACAGTTCACCCTGGTGCTGCAGAGCTAGATGTGCTCTTCTTTTCAGAGAGTTTTGAGCAATTTATCTCAAATTCCTCCTACTCTAACTTTGCTGTGGCTTTGGCTCTTCTAACCTGTGTCCTTCAGCACAGAGGCCTGTTTTTAGTTCTTCTTAGAGGCAGGACATGAAGGAGCTTTGCTCACCCTTGACTACTCTCTCCCTTTCCTAAAATGTGCTTCTGCTTTGCACTGCAAAATGGGACTGGAAATGTCACTTGGACCCAAAAGACAAATTGCTTTTTGAGATATTAAGTGAAGAAAGTTGATGAAACCATAAACTTCTCAGAATGGGCAAAGCAGAGGGACTGAACTTGAGTTATCAGTGGCATTACAATATCGGTGGACATGCCAGTTATGATCATAATGGTCATATTTGTTGGCTTATATCTAGACCTAAAAAAAATCCCTAGAAACATTACGATATACTAAGTGCTAAATCTTGTTCGAGGTGTGTTCTGCAGAAGAAGAACCTCCTTCAGAGGTGTAGAACAGCAGAAAAGTTAAAAAGGTCACCAGAGGCACCTGTAGCTCTGTAGGCAGCTCTGTGGCAACCATCTACAGTGACCAAAACCATGAGATTGAATGAAATTATTGCATAAATACAGATTTACTTTTTTTCTTTTTAATTAAACAGAGCTTGGTTTTAAGTTATTTTCAGGCTACTGCATAGGATAAGTATAGAATCATGAAAGAAAGGTTTTAATACTGTATGTTTTAATACTTGTTCATGAGAAGGACAATTAGTACTTTAGAAAGTAAGGGAGAAACATTTTCTGGAAATAAAGAGACTGCTATGAAAATGCAAGATTTTAGTGAGGTTTATTGCAAGGAACAATTCTAACTGCTAACAAACAATAGGAATGGTGAAGAGTTTGATTTCATTTTCTGAATGGGTAGAGAAAAAAAAGAAATTAAAGAGGGGAGAAACAATTCTTGCAGTTGGAGAGCACTAGAAGTATCAACGCAATGCATATCTAGGAATACATTTCAATAGATGAGATTTATTTAAATATAGAACAATTGCAGCCTGTGCAGTGGAGTCAAGGACAGAGCAATGAAAGATTTCCAAAGGAAAAAGGTGGTTGGGATACATTTCTGTGTCTCTGCTTCTGGAAGTTTTGAGAACAGGTTCCAAACATATGGTTGCTACAGTTTTTTGTTAACTGTCATAACTATTAAGATCCAAAAATGTTTTATCAGGAACTAAAGTTAGAATAACTCTGCTATAAATATTTTCTCTCCCTTTGAAATCTGTGCTGGAAACCAAACTTAAAAATGATATCCATAAAGTCCACTAAAAGTTATACTGCTCTGTTTAGTTCATGAAGGGAATTCTAATTATAGTATGAGACAATGGGAAACTGTAGTTTCAGTGAGTAGTATTTGATTGACCTGCATGAGAATTGGATGTGCAATTTTGTAGGAGGTAGATTGTGAGTTTGAAAAAGATAATAAAAGTACCTAGCAGCAGTTTTGGCTGCTTGGACATGAGCCAGCTGTACTCTGTTCCTAAATCTGTTCAGGGTCAGGAACCGAGGGGGCTTGACCAATCCACAGCCCATCTTGTAAAACCACAGCCTGAAGCAAACACTTTAAAGAAGGCTTGACACTTTCTAAAGGTTATAACGAGTAAATAAACCATCAAATTACTCCTCTTTTATTGTTATGGTAGTCTTTTTTATAAAAACACTTAAATCCATGTAGTCCTAAGGCGCCTAATAAAAAATGAACACTTCTAAGGTTTTGTGGGTTTTTGATACCTCATCAGAGTTATATACAATATACAATATCATTCTCCTAAGTATAACAAAAATGTTTTTGTCTTATTAAACAGCTGAGAGAACTTCTAAAAAAAAAAGTGCTTCACACAAGTTTTAAAAGCTTTCCATTCAAAATGGGTAAACTGTAAATGTCCTTTGAAAGATGTAAAAATGATGGATAAGGCTTATAACTGTTGGCGATTTCACATGAGAACGTTTTTGTCATGTAATTGTCATTCTCAGTTTAAGTATTTATGATGTTTATTTTTTTCAACAGTAGTTACATACATTCACATTTTTGATAGTTTCCAGATTTTCCTTTATAATCTGGGAGTAGGTTGGAGGAGTGTTGTTCACTTAGAACTTTGGTTCTTAGCCTGTTTAGTGCTCCCAGCAAAGGACTTGCTTAAAATGGAATTTAATGCCATTTTCTTAAGATGTTGAGCAACACTTTTCCTAATAATATATCATTTTAATAGCATTTGTTGCTTAATGACATAAATGGTTTAAGATTACACCTTTATAAGAAGCTCTAAGTCAAACTTGTTTGGTTTTAACACTCCAGGGAAATGAAGGGGATGTATTTTCATTCAGTACTTATAGATTAGTATCAGAAGACAGTGTCATTGCAACTCTGAAGTACTATTTGTTAGGGCAGAACTGGGAAGCATTGATAATCTCTCAAGTTCTCTTAATTTTAATTTTTTTTTGCCTTAAAGCATATGAAATCTTTAGGTCTCTTCTCCATCTATATTCTACTGGTACTTACCAGAGAAGCAAAAGCTAAAGAACTTTTCTCTAGTTTTCTGTAAGCCAAATTTTAATTTTGTAGTTGTGTTTAGTGTTTTGTAAAATGCAAAAATTCACGTGAGTGTTGAGGTATATTTTTAGACCCTGCAAGAATCTCTTGAAATGCTCAGGAGTAGCCTCCTGTGGATAGAAGTGTGTTTCCATCCACACATGTACCTGTAAACTGTCAATCAAGGAAGTCAGTTTTGACCCTAGACCCTCTAAAAGATGTCAAAAACCTAATTTAAATCACCCCGGGATGTATTTTGCCATTTTATTTTCTATTGATGATACAGTGGGACCATGAATCAAACATTATACTAAGCAGAAGGGGTTGCAAAATCTTCTTTAGAACTGTTTTGCACCAGTTGTTGAAGGGTTGAAAATACCCCTGTATCAAAAACTTGGAACCCTCACTTGTACTGAGTTCAGGAAAGAATTGCATTTCTTAAAGATGCAGCATACTTGATAACCAAAGCATTTGTATTATTTGCTTCACTGTGGAAGGAGAAAGAGCCCCAGTTTGTTCTTTCAGTCTGTCAGGAAATGTATTATTTCGTCCAGAGGGGATTTTTTTTTTTCCTCCTGGTAAGTAATAGTTGTTCATGGTACTGCAATTCAGTAGAATTTTACTTAAACCCCAGTTTTAAGGCAATAATTTTTTTCGAGGCCTACTTTTAATTTTTTACTAGGAAAATCTGGTTTTTTTTTTTTCTGAGATGTCACTGTTTTTCTAAGGATTATAATCACTTCTTGACATGTGAGTCATTTCAAGAGCACTAATTTATTCATGAATTTACATTGCAGGTTTTAAACTCTAGTGGGGAAGTTGAACTCAAAAGAGCATAAATGTGCACATAATATATCAAAATACACTGTTCAAGTATTGGGAATATTCTTTTACCCTCACACAGTCAGCTTGGCCCTTGTTGGAGCATGTCCAACACAAGACCTCAACAAATGTTATTAGTGCAACAATTCATCAAAGAGAAGTCTGTCTTACCTTAATGTGGTCCCCTTTTCAAGCTGATCATCAGTGTGCAGAGAAAAGGCAGGAAATCTGCCTTTTGAGGCTCAGAGTGACACATTAGTGTAGCTCCCTAGGTCTTTAAGGGATATTCATTATTTTGACTACATGCAATAAAAGGACAGTGGTGAATTGCTTATGACATGTATCAAAGCCTGTTCTTGCAAGAAGTCGTGACTGTTCCACAGGGAAACCTGGTTTTCCTTTTTTTTTTTTTTGATTATTGTGTTTGTAAAAGAAAGGCCCATGCTCATAAAAATTTGGTTCAGAAGGGAAGCTGATTCCTGTTGGGAAAATTTGACTTTAATACCAGAATGTTTCAGGGAAATTCTCCTAATTTTTTACCATCTGTGATTATCAGCAGATAAGGCTCATTTATTATCACAGTAATAGTTTGAATCTTGATAAGGTGATTCTGAAAGAACAGGGAAACTGGAGAACACACCTTCCTGTTGCTAGTACCTCTTCTGAATTGTGAAGGAAACTTCAGACTTCAGTTATGGTCTTCTCAGATTTTCTGATAGCTCATTTTATCAAAAGTGTGTTTGTTATCCATGATTCTGTTTAACTTCTTTTATTTGATAGGTCTGGAGGCTTCTCGGCACGAAGGTTATGATAAACATTTAGCTTTTTCCATAATAACAGAAGTTATTATTGCTGACACAAACCTTTCACTTGTCCCTAGGAGATGTCAAAAAGCATAAAGGTTCAAATGCTGTGAGTGGAATATTTCAGAAGTCCTGAAGATTCTGAGTCATTAACCACGATTATCTGTATCATTGACTACAGTGGATCCATAAAGCATTTTGCAGCTTGCTGAATTTCTCTTCATCTCCTTGTTTTGACTCTCTTCATCAGAATCATTTTTCAGTGGTGAAGTCAAGTCTGGTTTATTCCCTTTGAGTCTGGTTTTGTTGTAAGGTGCAGAAGATAATATGTGTGAAGAGGGAACCATTCCTGCTAATTAAGAGAGCTGTAATCCCAGCTCCTAATCTTCTGCTATGCATTTCAATAGATGTTATTTGTTCTGCAAATTTTCTGACCAAACCACCTGAACTCATCTGCTATTTTGCCATATCCAGAGAGCTTCTGTTTCCTTTTTATCTGTGTGGTGTGCAGATACATGCTGTTGTGTGTACTGGACTGTAAAGCAAGAAGAAATATGAATACATGACTTATGTTGGTGTTTGATTTGCTGGTACTGTTTTATATTTGTTTTTTTGTTTGTTTTTTTTTAACCAGGAAACAGAGACTAATTATGAAGATCAAATAAATAAAATTGTTGTAGAGAAACAGGAACTTGAATGGCAGAAGGTAACTTTCCTACATGCTCTTAGAGTTTGACCTGCAGAGATTTAATTTTAATGTATTAACATAAATTGTGATTTGCTACCATTCCTCTTTTGAAGGCTGTTGTTATTTCTAGTAGCAGAATGTGGTAGCCAGGAGTTTATTGTTTAGCCATGAACATGTGTAGCTTTTTTATTTGATTTGGATTGTGCCTGGCCTAGAACTGTGTTTAACAAAAAACTATCAAAATATTTGGCATGACTGGAAATCTCCAGTCCAGAAGGAGGGAAGTATTGAAACAATAAGATATTTAGCTTAACGTGAGGCATGTTGACATATTAGTGTGGGGGAAGCTGTGCAGCAGCTTCTCTGTATTATGCTTGACTTTGGCAAGTGCAAATACAACAAACAACTTCCCTTGCAATGTTCTGGAAGTGACAATTTTTCCAAAAAGAATTCTTTTAGACGAGAACTTGTATGTTAGACATACTCAAAAGCAGTTTGTCAGCTTTTAAACATTCAGAATGAAGTTTTTGGTAACAGAAGTCTAACATTCTTCTTGGAGTTCGGGCTCCTGAGGTTATGCTTTCATAGGAAATCCATTCCCTTCTCTAATACAATCAAACTTATGACCCCTGTCAGTGGGTCACAGGATAAAAGGCTTCACTCTGTATATTTTATGATCACAGAAAAAACAATAATTTCAGCTCTATCCTTGATCTTGGGATTTTTAACATAGTAGTAGTAAAGGAAGACTATTTCATCTTGGAGTTCATCCTAACAATCTTAAATTAATAATCCTAACTATGTGCTTTTCTTTCCTGAAAGATATATATGTGCACAGAGAAACAGGAAACATTTTATATTTGTAAAAGCAACAGTGCTTTCAGTTTGTAAGCCTTCTTTGCTTTTCTTACCTAGCACTGCAGTTCTTAATAATCTGGGTTGAAAAGAGGTGATTTCCACCCATTCTGAGACCTTAAACAGCAATTTACCATTAATAAAAAGGTGGGACTTACAGGTAATTAGGTAAACTCTCTCTTTTTTTTCCTGCACATTGGCACATGGCAAAGGTAATGTAAAACAACAAGGTGTAGATTTGGGGAACTTCGTGTGAGCACATGTTCTGGAACTTCAAAGAACAAGTTCATACAACTTTCCTGGAGATTCCAGTAAGATGAAAATTCTAAGTCTGGCATTTAAATTGAATTAGTGTCCTGATGCTTTCTGAATGCAGGCTCACACTGACCTCAGTAGTAGTTCAGTGCATAGACAAGTTATCAAAGATTCCATTATGTTTTTTACTTCAGAGATTTCCCCTTCAGTCAACATTTCTGTCATTCATTTTATTTTACCTTAAATTTAACAAACTAGTTTAAAATAAAGACATGACTTCAGCTAAGTTTCTGGTTTAACATTACAATTTCAAAGCAAGTATTTGTCTACATTTTATGAAAACTGTTGCTGCTCTTGAGAAAAATGTGCTAGAGTAGGGAAAACAGAATAACTGGAGAAAATACTGCTTTACATATAATGAGCATACTCATTGTACTTGCTATAACATCACTATATCAAAGCTGATTTTGCCTTTATTTTTAAAAAATAACTTAGTTCTTCAGTCTCCCTGCACCACGCATACATGCCATATATGGAAAATATATTCCAAAACTGAATTTCTGGGAGAGTTATATATAATCATTGTCTTTGATAGTCTTACCTGTGAGGCTTTTTAGGAAAGGAATATTTGTAGACACTCCCCTGTCTCTTTTTAAGAGTAAAATGCATCACTTGAACATACAGTACAAGGAAGTGGTATGTTATGAAGACTTCAGTAATGCTTTTTTTTTTCATTACATCTGTGACAAAATTATGTAAAGGATGACTGTTTTATGAAGCCAAACCTATATCTCCATAAATTACTATATGATATCAACTTGAATTCCTATTATTTAAAGTAGTGTGATCTTAATTTGACAATACAGTGGATATAAAATTTTATTCCTGTGGTGAGTAGGAAAAGTCCACTGAGAGCAGTCAATTTGCTGTCCCTGCTTCTGGTTCTCTTACCTTTCTCAAGACTTCTGTTTTCATGTTTTGGAATATTCATTTATGTAGTATGTATTGTTTGTCAGATGCAGAGCAAAACTTTCCCTACTTATCTTACAATGAGTTAATGAGTAAGTACATGACTGTAAACCACCATGGATTCTACTCTTGTATCAAAGGGCAACACCTCTCACTTATAGAATATGAAAGCAACACCAATTTGCTGCAGGAAAGCAATTTTGGAATGGGCTTTATGTTTAAAAAGCTCTCACTTTCTCAATTAAGGCAGAAGAAGAAATTAGACTTCTTGTGTGTGAAACAAATGTTCAATTTATTTTCTCCCATTCATTCTTTTTAATAGTCTCGATTTATATTTGGTTTTGTGCAGCCATTTCTGATTTGTTTCCTATTTCACACTAATACATCTTACCTAAACTCATCTATATTTTGAGATAGCTATTCGAGGACAGAGCCTTTTGACTACCTTTACCTAATATATTTTAGTGTCTAGGACTTAGAAAACCTGATCTTCCATATTTGCCTTCCTTGGTAAAGGTGAAGTATCTTGAACAGAAGCATGATGCTTAAAGATGTTTGAGATTTCTAACTTGCAGAGTGTAGTATCAATCTATAAGATCATGACATGAAATAATAACAAAAAAAAGTACATCCTAACTAATTTTCTTGTTTTGATAGGTAAGAGTAAAGCCAGGCAGGAGGATGATAAAAATTTTATACTATGGCCTTACACTTAGTCTTTTCTGCCCTCCCTCAGCTCTTTCTTGTAGCTTGATAAGTGACTAAAGTTTTAACTAAAAGCAGAATAACAGATTGTTATTTTAAATGGGATTATACTTTTAAATGGGTATTAAAATTCTATTATAAGTACCTGGAACAGTGTCCAGATGCTGTGTTAAGATGGCAGTGGATGTGGATTTGGATTACATCTGCAGGTTGGTGGGATGGGTAAGGATTTGCTTACAGAAGTCTTAGCAACAGGTCTGTATTCCAGGGGTGAGAATTGTTACCTGTTAAGAATTAAAAGAGAAGCTGCTACCAAAGAGATGATTATCAGTTAATAAATGCCTCTTTTAAGTCTTCAGGGTTTTTTAATCAGTCATGTCTTTCTTAGCCAGGAATCAGGTTTTTTTCTGGAAATGCTACATATATGCTTTGCTGTAAGAAAATATTTAAATAACACTGGTGTTATTTCTCGTGAGCAGGAGACTCTGCAGCATCAGACAGACACGTTGCAGCAGCAGAACAAAGAAGCTATGGCAGCTTTTAAAAAACAGGTAGCAAAATAAGACTTTCTAGGTTTGACTGTGAGATTTTTCTAATATGATGGCAACATAGCAAGTTACCAGTTGGTGTGAAAATATTTTTCTGTTGCATAGAAAATGTTAGAATATACAGCTCAGAGAAATCATGTCCTTTTCTTTTTTCTGGACACAGTATAATGCTTGTATTTTGACAGATCTTCCCAATAAGCCACTCCTCCTGGGATTTTTCTTTCTTTCCCCCCCCCCAAAAAACTCCTAAAGAAGAAAATGCTTCTTATAATACTTTTCTTGTTCTGTTTTGGTGTTGTTTTTTTTTTTCCCCTCTAAGATGGCATGACCTCTGCAAGGATAGATTCATAAACCACAGTAAAAGATCTGCCACAGAATTTACTCTGGCCAACATGTGTCAATCTTGCATTTTACTCTCCATAATATATAATGAGTAAATATTAAATGCTGAAAGACCTTGCAGAGAACAGTCATAGGAACTGAAACTGTTGCACATGGTGATGAAGAATTTATCACCAATGCTGCATCTCAATCCTGTCACACAAAAAAAGAAACTGGCAAGCAATTAATTTTTTGTCTTGAAAAAATAATTTGAGATTCACAGATCTCTGTTTGTGACTGTGGTTTAAAAAAGAATCAGATATTACACTGTGGAGGGTAATAGAACTATATTGTCTTGTCAAGTTGCATGAATAAAATTGATGTCATGTGTTGTATTGACTTTGTTTGTTTGTTTCTTGTTTTTCTTTTTCCCATGCCACTGATAATCAAGCTACAGGCAAGGATGTTTGCCATGGAAGAAGAGAAGGTACTCTGTAACTATTTGTTTTTGTCATCCAGAGAAGTGCATAAGCAAATCATAATGCCATATAACTTACCAAACAAGTATAAACGAAGTAAATTGCAATTAAGTTATTTTTCTTGCAAAAGGAATTTACTTCTGGGGGGTTTTTTTGTTTGTTTATAACCTATGGAACTTTACTCCTGAATTGTCACTTTAAAATTGGTTTATGCTAAAATTCAGTGGGGGAAAGAGTGTTCTTTGATATTTCTGTATTGAAGCTATACAAAATTTACTTTATTAGGGGTTGGGGTTTGGACAAACTGTCTTTGGCCTTTCCAAGTACTAGTGAAAAATAACATTTCTAACTGGTTTAGGGAAACCAGATTTTAATAGGGCTTTTCTTGACTTAGCTGAGCCAGTTTCATAAGAAACTTGAACTAAACTGAAGCAAGATATACTTAACCCTGAATTTATGTGATTTTTCTTAACCACGTGAGTTTTTATACCAAGTTGAGTGCCTGTTTCCTCCTCTGAATGAAGGATTTGCATTTAGTGTACCAGGAGCCTGTTTCAAAGAGTGAAATCAATGAATGTATGTGTGTGGATTCTATTGTTTCACTCAAATTTCCCAGTAGTTAAGAGCAGATGAGTATCTGCACGTTCCATAGCAGCTTGCATAGAAATTTTCAAACTGGTCAAATGGTTTTAAAGTGCATCAAAGTAAACTTTGTTTGCTGCATTTATATTTTCTGGTTATTTTCTTGGTTGTATTTGAAGTTTCTTCTTGCCAAGACTTTCTGTTTGCCCACACATACCCACTTATTAGTCTCTGATTTGTGTTTTCAGTGGCAGCTACCATTTCAGAATTAAATTGTATACTGATTAATTTTTCCTTCTAAATACTTCCATTGAATTGAATAGTACTTTCAGTACTTTTATACCAAAGTAACTGAAAGAATAAATGAAGCTTTCATGTTTCAAGACAGAGTTGAAAGACCAATATTTGCTCCAGTTGAAATTAGGTGTACTATTAATCATCAGGATGGTTTCAGGAGATTGCCCAGCCAGCACTATGTTAGAAATGTCTGGAACATGCAGGGGTGGTTGAATGGATGCATTTGTGTTCCCTGGTGTATTCTCTGATATTTGATTCTGCTCTCCACTAGATTACTGCCTAAGATTCTTATCTGATTTAATTCTACTGAGGTCCTTTGACTTTGTTCACGTGCTCATTTTATACATATGTGTGTGTGTGTATATGAGCACACATGTATTTTTATATTTATATATAGAAAAATACAAACTGTACTTAGTAATTCTGTTGATAGCAGCTTACAGTTCAGTCTTTGTGGTTTGGAAAAACTGAGGGAGTTGCTTCTGTGAAGACCCTTCTACAGCAGATAAGAAAATGGATTTACCTGAAACTTTTTTTTTTATATTTAGTGTCTTTGTTCTAAATTAAAATAACTTATTAATTCTGCCTTTGTCAGGCTTGTCTCTCCAAGAACAGGAAATTTTAAGACTTGCTGAGTATGGTCATAAGTGGTGAAAATATGCTATTGTATTTTCACTTTTCTTTGTATACCAATATATTTCTACAGTTTAAGATTATTTACCTGAATTTTTCACCAGTGACTTGTTCTGTCATAGCAGAGTCCAAATTCATTTTTGTAACATTCTTTTTGATGAATTCTTAATGTAAATGCATTTATCCCACCCAAATCCTGAAGTACAGTTTTGTTGAAAGGGAAAATACCAACTTGCTGTAGAAACAAAAGAAAAAGAGATTGATGGACTGAAAGAAACCTTAAAAGCATTACAGGTAAGCTATTATTTTTGTTAAATGACTTTTTTTTTGGTATTGCAAGTGTTTTGGGTTTAGTTTTCTTGCTAGTAAGAAAATAGTTGTTTTTAAGAGGGTCTTTAAGGCCTTGTCATCTAATCTTTCTAGGACATGTAGACATGTGACACCTGACTAACACTGAGCTTCTGTTCTAATCTTCAGTGCCAAGGCTACTCTAAGGCAGCCCCTTCCAACTAATGTTCTCTTCCTCCAGAAGAACTGCAGGCCCAAAGGTTCAGATAGTGTGTGAAGTGGGCTTTCTTTTCACTTCCACAGCCTTCCTGTTTCTTTCTGTTCTTGTCATCTTACTTCTCACCTGTCTGGAATCTCTGGCTTTGGACTCCTAAACAGAAATAAGCATTTGTTCTGGGCCTCCAACTTGCAGGGCCACCTGTGGTTTTGGGTATTTTCCTTTGTTTCACTGGGAGGTGTCTGTATTTACCACTTAATCCATGGTTTAAGACCAAAGCAGATATGTTGAAAATTGATTATAAGCATTGTAATTCATTGTCAGATTTCAGGTATTACCAGGAACTAATTATTTTTATGCTCAAAACTGAGTGGGATAATAATTAATTCTATTGAAAGCAAATTAGTTACAATGGATTATAACCATGATTTTGCAACTTGCTTTGGTTCTTATCAACATTCTGTTGTGATGGGATGCATTTACATGGTATCAGATTGTTTATTTAACCATGTAGTTAGCACTGAATGTATCTTGGGAGCAAAAATTAATTCCCATGGTTGACCTTCTGTGCAGTATCTGTAAGGATTTTGTTGCCTTGTTCAAACCCTGGCATAGCACAGATGATGTAGAATATCCCTCCATGGTCTGCTGAACATAATATGGGGACAGCAGGAGGAATAAAAGATTCCACTGGCCTTTCTCTTGTAGGATTAAACAGAAATTTAAAAGAAGCTTAACTGAAATGTTTAGTGTTCACAGATCAAACATTTGTGTTACAGTTTAGTTCATATCTAGGAAATTCTGCTGTGGCTTGAGGAAGCAGGAGGTCACAATGAGCATGTGATCCCAGGAAAATTGTTTGGAGGAATTTTAAATTTGATTCTGTGTTCCTCTCTATCCAGAGAGTCAGAATTCTACCTTAAAATGATGGTTCTCTTGGTTTTTCCTGGAAATAATGTTTTCTGTATAAGATTTGCACACACTGGGTTCTTTGAAGTGACTCTTTTTTTTTCCTTTTACTCTTCAGTGTTGTTCAAATCAAAATACTCTCTCAATGGTGTATTAAAATAGTGTTAATGGCTTCTAATGTCAGCTGAATATTATTAAAGCATGTGAGATTGATACAATATCTCTTTATAGGCTACCATTCAGAATATCTAACTAGATGGTTTGGGGCTTTTTTTTTCCAACAGGGAACAGACATATATTCCTGTAGGAGTTGAGGGAATACTTTAATTACTATCTCTGTTTTCTTCTTTCTAAGAGTCCATTTACACTTTTTTTTTATACCTGTCAGAAAACACAAGGTTTTATGCATTTTTTCAAAACTCCTCTGGTAACAAATCAGTGTAAAGTGGTTTTACGTAATTTAAATATTGAAGTGAAATTATGTAAAATGAATCTAATAATAGTGTCATCATTAATTCAAAACTAGTACTACTCTGTTGGATGGATTGGCAACAAATGCAATTGAATGTTAGGTATAACAATACCTAAATATGCAGGTTGTTGTCAGAAAAAATGTGATTACAATTCATTGACTAACTCTCTTGTTTTACAGATTTCAAAATACACTTTACAAAAGAAACTGAATGAAATGGTAAGAGATTAATAAAAGTAAGAAAATAAGGAAGAATTTTTATGTAAAGAGAATGTCTGCTTAGAGCATAAATCAATGCTAACCAACTTTAATACTTAAATGATGTGTGATAATTATTGCAAATAATGCAAGGAAGTGCCTCAGCTTCAAATGTGAAAAACTTACAAATGCAATGTTTTCAGGTTTTTATAGTGTGATAGCTACTGTTTAGCACGTGGCATTCTTTCTCATTGAATTCAAGTAGAATAGGTACATTTGTTCTCTTTATAGATTAAAGATTTTTTACAAACTGTGATTTGAATAATATAATTATATTTCTGATACGATCTAGCATATTCTTCTCAAAAAGTAATAGGTAATTCCAAGAAGTTTTTTGTTTTGTTTTTAAGAAAAAATGCTGGTTTTCCTCTCGCTCTTTTTCACTCCTTTTCTCAGAATTACTTCTTGACATCAGTTCCCCTGAACAGTTTAGATTTCGCCCAGTCCAGCTCACTCCCTTTGACACAGAGAATAAATTTATACAGAGTGACAGCATAGTTGCTCTGAACCCTGTTGTCTGTTTTAGGAAGCGAAAGAGTGAGCTGCAGAAACACTGCTAGGCTTGATTGAATAAATGCTGTGAAAATTCTGCTGCTGCTCAACTGGAAAGGATAAAGATAATATTGTCAGACCATTACAAACTGGGATTTTAATTAAGAAGCTCAAAAAACTAGAGTCCAGCTTAGCTTTAAGTACCATGACATTTGTACTGAAAGTCATCTTCAACGCTACAGTGGTTTTACACAAAATATGGTGAAATTGAATAATGTGCCCTCTGACCTGGGAGATAAGGCTACAAGTTAAAGATCAAAGGCAACATAAAATGTGGTTTGTCTTACTTCACTTTTAACTTGTATTTGTTCTTCAAATGCAGCTGATCTAAAAATGTGTTAAAAATTTACGAAATTATTGGACTTACATTTAGGTCATTTCACATATTATCTTTCTTTCATAACTTACAAGCTCAGTCTTCCATGTGAGTGAGAATATTTAAATGACAACACCTTTTCTATAAGCTGGAAATGCATCTGTGTTGCTTAAACAAATATCTTCCTTTCTTACGTTTGGAAACTTTTCAATAATTGATTATTTGAATATTTTGAAAACATTGGGGTACTGTACCTTTGATACAGAGTGTGGTAATTAAAAACACTATTGAGTGGGGCACGAGATCCTAGAAATCCTGTTTTGCAGGTAGCATTCCATGTAACATGTACAGTTTGGACTTATTTATGGGAAGATGCCCTGATATGAAATGATGCAAACAAAAAACCCACAAGGTAGACAGAAGTGAATTCTTCCCTGCAGCCTTATGCAGGTTTTAGACCAGGTCAAATTCTACCAACTTTACTCCTTGAGTAGTTGCACTGAAAAAGCTGATACGTTCAAGGTGTCAGAGTAGCAGGTGCCCACGTAGACTCTTGGTCATTGCAAATGGCAGGGTGTTTAAAAGTAAAATTGGTTGGAACTCCAAACCATTCATTTATTTGAGGTCCATTTCTAATTCAGTTTTAGCTTTGTTAAAGACAGATTGGATCATGCCCTGGCTTGTGTTTTGAGAGTAAGCAGATGTGCTGTTCAGTTTATATCTGGCACTTTAGAAACCCTGCCAGGCAGTGAAGGAGCTTCTGTGCATGCCAGGGACTGAGCATGCCTTACTGATGGAGCATTTCATTCTGGTTTTGTTCCTTTAATTCTGTTCTTCTAGTCTAATATATGCAATGTTAATACTTCACATACACACCATATTTTAGCATGCTATCCACTGAAGTTTATGTGAAAATTTAGTGCTGGTATAAATTTTACAATACACACTATAATTTTGAGATAGTGGAAGCTTTTGTTTCATATTGAAAGACTGCACAGAGACAAAGAAATAAAAGATTTCTTTTTCATCCATCTTTATTTTGTTGTTTCCACAATAGAAGTGTTGACTGTTGCATGCTGTGTAGTGGCTTTGCACCTCACTGCATATGGACAGTAGTGCTTGTGCAGTCAGGAGGCTACGGGGTGGTTACTGCAAAACCAGTTCTCTTGACAGAGTACACTTGAGTGTGAGCTCTGTATTGCATTCTTTAATTGCTGCTGAAATAAGGGCATCACTGCCCAGAAATGGCTGTGGTTGGGTTTTGGTTACCTGGCAGGTGATCCACTGTAGAATGCCAGAACTCTCTATGTGTAGCATCTGTTCTTGTCTTCCCTTAGGAACTCACGTTGGCTGATCCTGGGCGTGTCTGAGAGAGTGAGCATTTGGGGTTGTTTGTCTTCTGCAGTACCTAAATCTTAAATATATATATATATATATATATGTTGTAGTGCTAAAATGTTAAAAAATCCCAAGAATGAGATTGAGGCTGGGGTTGACTGCTTTAGAAACCAAATCTGTGCCATTCAGAAGAGCAAATTTGGAGTGCAAGATCTCTAGGTAGTCAATGAGGGACAGTGAGTACAGTAGATGGGGTGGGTGCCTCTGTGCAAGACTGCTAACTAGTCCAGTTTCACTTGCTGGCTGTATTTGTCCTGGTAAACTAAATGTGTGTGAAACCACTTTGTGAAGCTGCAATGAAATGGTCTAGGTCGAATAAACTCTATTACTCTTCAGAAAAGAGGGAAGCTGGATCTAAATAACCCACATTGTTCCCAGCAGACAGTCCCTCAACTCTGCCCAGGACCTCCTTGCATGAGTCCTACCTGGCATAGGCCAACATGTGTCAGGGATATTTTAACAACAATACTGGCATTTCCTGAGAGCTTCCCTGCCACCATTTAGTTTTCTAATACAGATGTAGTTGCCACGTGAATTGTGAAATAATTACTGCAAAATGTATAAAATATATGAATGTATTAAGTATATGAAACTTTAAAAGTTGGTTTGTTCTTAATAATCTATGATAGGAATGTTATTTTTATTTCCTTCCTGCATTTTTAGGAGTTTGCCTGTATTCATACTGTGTTGTTTAAAAACACAGTGAGAAGGCAGTGATATAGGATAAATTATTTTAAAGTAGAAAAATGGTAGGAACTAAAGGATCTGTTGTGGAAAAAAAAAAATCCCTGTTTCGAAGATTTACAATTGGTAACCCTTTGCATAATTTTCACATGATCTTGCCTTAGGTCTCCGTGCCACTACATCTCCTTTGTTTCTCTGACACTTTCACCTCCCAATTACCACCTTCTGCTTCACTGAGTACCTCTGACTAGTGACTCAATTTCCAGAATATCTTTGAGATATGAGCAATTCCCTCTTTGTGTTCCTCCAGTCACCTACTTGACCCTGAGCTATTTCTCTGGTCTGGTTCCACCAAGAAATCATTGTGCCTCAACAAACCATATGGCCACAATCAATTCCACTCCCCATCCCAGCTTATCTTTATTACTAGTGGAGGGCAGGGCAATAATTCCTGTTCTTGCAGTATCAGACGTTAGGAAGAGGAACCAAGATTCTGTGGGTCTTACTCCAGCTCCAGGGTCATCCCCTCCCTATCCTGCAGTGTCTCCTGATGTTTCTTGCTTGTCTTCTATGGAAAATATTTTATGACCTTTTCACTGTGAGCAGAGGAATCATATACTCAGGCTTTTATTTTATAGTGCACTAAGCCTAGAGAGCAGCTTGCCATCAAAAATCATATTTAGGCAAGTGGTGAGCTCTTAATAAAACTCTTGCAGAGAGAGCAGGCCAGTTCCTTTTTTTTTTTCCCCTGGAAAGAGCCTTGTGAAATAGCAAAGCATATTTCTACTTTTTGAGAGAGGAGGAGGGAGCATTAACACTGTCTTGCTGACTTAAGAAATAAATTGGGATAACACTAAGAAAAAATCCATATTAAAAAAGTGCAAACCCCCTCAGATCTTGCCACAAGTCTCAAATCAGCGATGCCTCCTGTTCCTCAGTCCCTTAGAATAAATACACCTGATGAGGGACTATCAGGAAAAACAAAGAAAATTTTTCCTTTTAATTTTTCTGTTATAAAATCCCCCTCCTGGCATTAGTTAAGCACAGTTCTTCAACAGTTAACTTCTGATTAGGGAAAAGAGAAAGTATATGAACATTCAAAACCTACATTCCTTGCAGTGATTCTGTAAGTGGTGGTGTTTCTTTACCAGTGCTTCCATTATGACTTTCCATTTGCTGTAGTGTGTTTAATTTCATACCTTATAAAACATGAGAAATTTGTATTGTATATCCTGTTTTGCTGGCCTTATGGTGGTCATTTCTTTTGATTACTCTCAGCTTTTATTATCCTCTGATGCTTGGACATGTATTGCATTTGTTACTGTGTGGAAATGGAGCCTTGCATAACCCAACCAGACTGGGCCAGATGCATCCTTGTGTAACCTGAATTTACACACAGGGATGAATTTGGCCCAAGTAATTTTAATTGCTGTGTTGCTTTAATGTAGATTAGAAATGGATTAGATATCTAAATAAATGGTTATCCTTTCTGAGGAATTAATTTAACCCATTCTCTTCAGAAAAAAATTAATTTTAAAACTGACCAAATAGTACCTACACAGCTATTAACAACAAAACAATACAAAGAGGAACACAAAAAATTTAGTACATGTGAAAGAAAGGATAACAAATAGCTTTAAAAAAAATCAGTGGCATGTGTCACTGAATAGTTTGCTGTGAATATGTATTTTCAGTTGCTCCCCACAAAATGAGAGATTGGTAAAAGTCAGTAAATACATTTTAATGAATTACCATGTGGGTTTCATTGTGGTAAAATATTACTTAGGCCAACATGTCAATAGAAGTAAAAATAAAGTGCTAGATATTTATGAAAGTAGTTAGAAACTTCCCTACAGATACATATTGTTAAAGTAGAAGCGAATTTGAGCACGTGTCAGGTGCTCAAAGCCCTTGATTACCATATTTGCAAGCACCATATTACAAAGCACCCTGTACTCTGAACAGTGCTGTTGTTGGTAAAAAACCTGTTTGAGTGTTTATTGCAATATAACCTAAAAAGTTGTCATTGTTGATTAAAAGCATGTTATGCCGGAGAGCGTTTCAGAGCATAAAAGGAAGACAGTGCTTTTACTAATGGCTTTGCAAATGTGGCTTTGAAGGATGGCTTGCTTCTGTTGTGTAACAGGAGACAATAAATGTCCATAGGCCTTTATTTTCACCATGAGTACACTGGCACTGATGCCAAAGTTTGAGGAGCTTGTTTTCTTACCTATCTTCACTTACTAGTTTGTGCCCTGGGCTCCTCTGTGAAGCTGCTGAGACAGTGGGTTGTGGGGAAAACTTGAGATCAGGATTTGAAAGCAGTTTGTACAGTTCTACAGGCATTTACATGAAGGTTCTTCTAAATATAAGGGCTGACAGACGAAAATATGTAAAAGTGCATTTTTGGTAATCTGGCACACAGGTGAAGGTCTTCCTGCTATCTGAAAATGGGAACTGATAACTAGGTATGAAGTAAACAACTGAGATATTCTGGGAATGATTTTGCATTTGTGCTGTTCCATTCAAAAGCATTTGGAGAGCTACTTACTGTCAGTAAATGTGTGCTTCATTTATGTCCCTGACAGGATCAGAAATTACAGATGCACCTGACAGCGAAAGAGGAGCATCATAAGAAGCTGAACGAAGTCGAGAGGTGTTATGCTACTATTGCATCTCAGTTTGGAGTCATAAAGGGGGTCCATGGAAAACTAGAGCACAGTGGTATGTATGTCTTAAATGTCCTCCTGAATTTGATTTTTCTGTGTTTTGACAGCACTGAGTTGGAGACACCTGACAACTCAAAAAAATAGCAGCTGCCCTGGGCCAAGTGCTGCTCTTTGCTGATGCACCACTACAGTTGTGTGTGGGACCACACAGGAAATTATACTGAGGAGCTGATTTGTGATCAGAACAATCCAGCAGTAGATCCATCCCTTTCCAAAAAAAAAAAACAACCCCAGAATAAACCCAATCAAAAAACACTCAAAAAAGCAGCTTAATTTGGACCAACTCCCTGTTGCCATTCAGCATAATCAGCTTAAAGCAGTTGTACCAGTAAAAATGAGGGGGTGAAAGTAAAGGAATTAGCAAATAGGAGAAAATGAATGCTTTTAAGTGTAGATTTAATGTTGGAAAATGGATGAAAACCATTAATGAAATAATAAAAATTATTTTCTTGTAAAGAAATATAAAATCTTAAACCAGTTCAATAAATAAATAGGGTGTTATGAATAATTTTATGCAGTTAACATTGTTATGTAGATTCTTGCTATATGTCTATTCAAGCTTTATAAATCTCTACCACATCCCCATTCATGTGCTGACACATAACAAAATTATTTGTGAAACTACCAACAGGCAAAAATACTATTCCACACACTTTTATTTTCTATAAATATTTAATTTTTATCTGTCAAATAATTACTCAGGTAACCAGGTGATAAAAATACCTCATTGAAATGAAGTTTTGTAGGTGTTAATTTGAGAGAGAGATCCTTGTTTCTCATAGCAAAGTGATAAATTTCCATGCAAACATCACAGTGTATGTTTAGAATATAGACTTTTGTATTGTTTCATGTGCCTGGAGTTTACATCCATGTAAACACATACACAGGACATAAACAAAAATAAGTGTTATTAAGGAAAAGAAGTAGTTGTATCACTGAAAACAAAATCAACCACCAACAAAAACAACAAACCCAATCAATCAAACAAACAAAAAAAACATCCAGAACACCAAAAAACTTTTCAAATACTGAATCTTACTAAATTTTTAGTTTCTACCTGAAACTAAAAATTTTATTTTCAGATCTAGTTTGAATAAACTGGTGACATATTCAGTGTATATTAGTGATATTTCAGTACCTCCAGTTATTTTTTGTATTCCATTTTTTATGATGTTAATTTTTAATACTAAAAACATATAAAGATAAAATATTGCTGTGTTTTGCTTTTATTTCCATTGGACAGGGGTTTACTGTTATATCAAATACGAAAATCTTTTTGCAATGTCTTGGAAAAATAACAATTACTCTCAGTACTTATTACATTTGAATGATAAAAAAACCTTTTTTTTTTACCGTGTTTCTACTTACATTTATCAATAATTGCAAAGTGAACCTCTAGAAAAGATTAAGTGGGTTGCTAACTGCTTCTGTTCAAGGAGCCAATATCTTCACCAGTTTGACTCTAGTGTGCCTTTACTGCAGAGAGTTCAATTTGCATGGCAGTGTGTGAGATGTGCAATAGGCATGGAGGTGACCTGTAAATTCTGAGCAAGAGACTGCTCTCAGTGGGAAGGTCAGGCAGGAAAGGGGATGAACAATTTTGTGCAAATGGTTTAAATTTATAAACTGCTTGTTCTTTATCTGCAGTATTAAAGCAATATGTAGGGACACAAGGAAGTGGAAATCGATGTGTTATAGTGCTGTAGAGGGAAAATACCAGAATTGGTAATAAATCCAGAGCTTTATTGGCTAACTAATGTCCCACTATTAGTACTGTAAAGCAAGAGAGTGAGCACATGACTCTTGTTGAAGGATAGGAGAGAGTTTTGCCAATTTTTGCTTGCTTGTATATGTATGGGCTTTTCCTAAGCTGTATCAGAAGATAGCTGTTACATTCTTCAGTATTTTAATGTTTTAAGCACATATTCTCACACAAAACTGCAAAATTGCTTCTTGTGTTGTAAGGCTGATGTCCATCTTCCCCCATGATGGAGCATCTTTAGCAGAAAAGGGAAGGACTTTCTGGGTGTGATGGAGTGTGCAGAGCTCCTGTATTCAAGTGTGGTGCCAGAAGAAAAAAGATTAGGAGTGAATGAAGAGGAATCAGAAAATAGAAAATGCTAAAGAGACACCTCAGAGGATGAAAATACTAAGATTGAATAGAGGTGACTGAAAAAGTCCAGAGGCCAGTGAATATCTTCAGTTTTTCATTGTGGAATTTCAAGCAATTTCCCAGTTATATCTTGACTTGTATAAAGTCTGAGAGAAAATTCCCTTCCCTTTCAGAAGAGACAGAGGTTACTCTTAGGGTTTTCTGCTGCATTATCCCCTGCTGTTTGCTTTCTCCCATGGCCTACATGCATATAACTCTGTACATCTGTTAATTCAATTATTTGTATGTTCTGTCCATTATGGCCCATTGTGCTCTGTGTTCCTCTGAAAATTATGACAAAGCCTTAGTTAAAAAACAAAACTAGGATTCAAAGTTCATGGACAAGCGATCCTAAAAAAATGTCATCAAGTTACACTAAAAATTAAATTACAATTAAAAACAAAAAAGGCAAACCAACACAGAGAAGAGTCTTCTCTCATTGTTTGAGGTACAGAACAACTGGTACCACCTGGTGTAATCCTCCAGTGTTGTATCACACTACACAGAAAAAGTAAATGAATCATATTTTCAGTTTTAGTCTCCTTTCCACGAAGATGTTTAGTTCTTTTATGAATTGCATATGCGTACGTTGCAGTTATAGATCAAATATTGATAGAAGTCTTCATTAACATGCTCTCACTTTTGTTTGAAGTGCAGGAAGCCATACAGCACAATAAGAAGCTGTCAGCAGTGAACAGAAGACAAGAGACTGAAATAAGTAATCTGAAGGAAGTAAGTATGGGATGCATTTCTGAAAGTAGAACCAGGATTCTCTGGGACTTCCAAAAGCCTCTGCAGTATTAATGGGAGTAGTGGGCAAGCAGCAGAGCAGTTTTTCATTCTGTGACATGGCTAAATTAGTCTCATGCTTCCACAGATACTTCAGTTAAAATTGGAGCAGCTCTGAATAATTTCTCTAACTTGGGAACTTTTATTTACCTCTACAGCATCCTGCTTGTTTCTTGCTAATTATTAATGACCTCTCTTCTTCCTGTGCTGTGTTGTCATTGCTTCTCCCATCTGATGTGGAAAGGTGTTTCCAGTCTAGTCAGAGGTGATAAACTGTGTAAGTGAATCTCTGACAGAAGTGGGAGAGTTTTGTGACAGGCAGCTGAGACATTGGATTATAATAATTTTATTTATGAAGAAGTTGTCTGGCCACTGAGCTCTTTTCTCTCTGCATCTCTTCAGAAGGTACTATTTGTCAGGTACATTTTTGAGTTACACTGTTGAACATATGTGACAGTGGGAAGGATAAAGTTCTCTTTTCCTTTTGAGCTGTTTCTTAAGGGCTGACAGGAGAAGAACCAAAGGATCCTCTTAAGTCAGACTTATTCTGTACACTCAGTATCTTACCCCAACACATCTTTTTTATATCTCCTTATCTTTCTATTTCCCTCTTCTTTTAAATTTTTTTTTCTCCCTTAGATTCTCTAATGATTTTAGATAGGGAACATGATTGTCTTGGCTTCTTGGCCTCATGTTAATTCCCAGTTTCCAGATGAATGCTTTGAGCTACCATGGAATATTTGTAAAGATTGTGATTCTTTTGGAAAACAAAAAGGGTCAGGGGAAGAAGGTAATTTGTACACGAGGAACAGGGACTATATACATTTTATATTTATGTTTATATCTATATTGATCAAAAATGGATGCTTACCTGCCACTACCTGTCTTTCCCTGAAAAATGGGGTTTGAAGTTACAGAAGTATTTGAACAGTCTCCCTGAATCTAGTGCTGGTTTTTGTTCTTAAGAGCATGCAGCTTCTTGTTGTTAAGGTTCTTTGGAGTTTGATGCCATTAAAAGCCTGACTTAAAATTTACCTTTATCTTGAAATATAAACAGTTTGAGATTTTTTTTTTCATTTGTTTCATTCCTACCTTCTCTAGTGCTTTACTTAATTCTTATATTTATTACATAGCTACATTAAAAATTAGTGAGGGACTCAATCTAGGTTTGCTTAGTTACATACTAGAATATAACATGCCAGATCTCAGTATCAAAAAGATCAAGTTTTGAAGTGATTGTTGGATCTCAAAATTTCAGAACTCTTACCATCATAAAAGCAGACTGAGAAACACAATAATAGTAAAGCAAAACACTGGAAAAATTCTCAGATTAATGTCTAAATCACAGTTAGGCTTTGTGGAATTTAAAAACGTTTATTTAGCTACATAATTCAAATGATAGGTTATATATAAAAGCTATATATATTTATATGAAATATTTGATGGATGGAAGAGCAACAGAAAAATATCAGAAGGTGTCAATGGCACAACTTTGTTTGCATTGGGTACACTTCAACTGTGCAATTCCTTTAAAGAAGGGTAAATAATTTGTATGTGACAAAAGGAGGGACATTCATCTAAAATGCAGCATATCTTTATTGTAATATATTGTATATAAAAAAATGTAGGCATTTTAGAAATATTTAGGCATCACAGTAAATTGGATTTGTTGCTTTTGGTAAGAAACCAAGACTAATTAATTACTTAGCATTCTCTGAGGGGAAGTCATTTGAGAGATAAGAAAATAGAAATGTTTAAGGAAATTTTACGTAGTGAAATTTGTGAGTAACATAGGTGTGAGAAACTTGATAGTGATTTATGTACTCCAACAATTAAACATATTGCTTGATCCACTCTTTTTTCAACTGTACTCTTGATTCTTAAGGTCATGGGTGATGAATTTTAAATAAAATACTGTTAGATAAGCAGAAGAAGGGGCCAACTGAAACTTAATCTGGCTGCTTCAGTTCACCAGGAAATGCCTTTATTTCTGTTATTTCTGAATTTCTTATTGTTTTTTTAGTGTTTGATTATCCTGTTCTGAACAATCTGAACTGGACTGTTGAGAAGAGTTTGGAAAAGGGATTAGCAGGCTATTTTCACTTGCTACATAGCTGAAAGAAGTCCTGATATCTACAGCACAAGTTTGGACAACTTCTAAAGCTGTTTTTATCTGCCTTGGAGACTTGACTGAACTCTAACAGCTCTGACAACTTATGGGTTCAAACTTCTTTCCTCTGTAGCCTCAGTGCTGGAGCAGGAATGACTGTCCATAGTACTAAAATCTTAATTTGGTTGTCAGCTCTTATCACAGCCATTACTTTGACTCAGAGCAGGATGATCTCACAGGTTTGTTCTTAATGGGAATATGAAGTTAGTGAATGCAATTCAACATTTATGGATAAAAAGCCCCTAATCTCCAATATAATGAAATTGCATGTATGTTCTGGATGGTGTTAAATATGTACAACAGTAAACTTGGGTTAAGCTGCAGTCTACTCTGCACAGGTTTAGTCTTCTGGGATGTCAGGAAAGAAATGTTATTTGGAGAGGTTGTAGTTGTCTCTTGGCATTGCCAGCTTCAATTCCAGTTCCTAAATTTTAATGTAATGGACTGTGGCAAAATTTCCTTTTAGGTAACAGTTGCTTTTGGATTTGAACATTTTGATATTCAGTGTGTTAGGATTCTTTTCAACCACTGTGAAAACGCTTGCATTGAAATCTGGCCAAGAAAAAGGTTTCTTTCTCTCTGCTGCTTAAAAAAACCAACTAATGCTGCTCAAGACCCAAAAGATGACAAAAGAGCAGCACCAATCTAGGAAGAGAGCAAAAAGATGTAGTTATAATTTTAGGACAGTTAAAGTTTGCATAAGGTGTCAGCGTAGTCCTGGGAAGTGGTTACATCTGCCTGCCCTGGCTGCTTTTCCAGTCCTTTTCCATCTGGAAAATGGATTTATGAGCCTTGAGGTGGTGTAGAATTAAAATTTCATATTGATCAAAACTACATTCGACAAAAAAAAAAAAAAGGTGGAAGTTTTAGCTTAGATCAACATGCAATAGGAAAACAGGTTTAAGGTGCAGACAGGGTTTTTGTGACACTCTTGACTTAGGCTGGCATGAAGTGTTTTTGAAGCCACGTCCCTCAGCGTGTGCTTCTGGGAACACATCAAAGGAATGGGCTTAAAGCCTTGTCATTCTTTCTTGGCACACCTCGAAAACTGATAAAATATGTTCCATGGTCAATTTAATTTATATGTTTTTGAACACTGCTAGTAACTTTAATAATAAGAGAAATCTACTAGAATAAAGCAGAAGCTCTGAGGGTGAAATTTTAAGAAAATATATGTAAGTATGTACGTATAAAATTATTTTATATTAATTTTACAGCTACACAGGTTGCAATTTAACTCACTATGGAAAACTTTGCTGTTGTTTTTGGTGGTCTCATTTGTGTTGGTTTTTTGGGAGTTTGTGTTGGGTTTTGATTGTTAGCTGGTTTTGGCTTTTCCTGCCTACAGTTTTATATTAGCAAATCTGGGTTTGGTTCCAGATGGATTGTACACATCCACCTGCTAATTACAAAGAAGAAAATCCAGGCATCTTTTCTACCTCAAGGGCACGATTTACTTCGTGTGACTTGTTCTTTCCCCGTGACAAAATAAGTAGTAAGATTTTTTTTTCTCCACACTGTAAAGCCTGAGTTTTGGAAAATACATGGTACCATATCCATGGCAGGCTTTTGCACCTGCTTGTGTGGCCACAGCCTGTCAGGTGTGTTCTCTATCCCTTTATTCCAGTTCTCTGTGCAGATTGGCACAGGGCACATTTTCACCTGTACAAAGTTAAAACTGCTTGCACCTTCTGCCACTTAACTGCAGCAACTCTCCTTGCACATTTCTTTACAGAGCCTTCTAGTAAAAACACTGCTACTAATGCATGTTTTTATTGTAAAAAATGGGGAAAAGCCTTACTAGCTTACAGAATATCATGATTTTAAAGCGTTGCTGTCTTTGGGTTTTGTAATTGATTCTGCAATTGCACTTAGTACTTACTAGATAATTTTAGATTTATTTATGGCTAAAATACATGAAAAATAAAGCTTCTAGCAAAAAAAAAAAAAAAAATAATTGCTTTTTTTGAAAGTAGTACCTATACTTATATTTTTCCATAAAACTTTGTGAATTTCAGCTACAACATAATCTTTCCTTCTTCTTTTGTGCTGTTCTATGATTTTGTCCAGAACAGTCAAAACCATTGGTGTGTGATAATTCTGTCTGTGATAACTGGAATTCCAGTTTTGTGAAGAAAAGTTAAACAGACCAAACTTTGGTTGTTAGATAAAACTATTGCCATTCTGAATGCTTGGTTCACCACTATGGCATCATGAAGAATTCTTGATACTATCTGTGAGCAGCATTCATAACCTCTGCTGTTTGTCTGAGTAAACGTCAGGGCACTCAAGGAGAGAGAGATATTAAACAGACTACCTTGTACCAGAATGGGAGGGGTGGGGGAGAACAGGGCACAATATTTATGGCTCCAGGAACTATAAGTTGTAATTTAATGAGATCAAAGCATTTGCTGTTTATTTGCTGCACTAGGAGCTTGGAATAAACTGGTTACGAAACAGATACCAAAACCAAAAAAAAGGATATTTAAAAGAGCACAAAGACTATAAAATCAAAGGCATCATGTTATAGAAGCTTCTAATATAAAATTAATTTAGCATTCTCCTGAGAGTAAGTAATTAATGTTACAGGAAAAGCAAAGATCCTTCAAATTTATAGCCAGTTCCTGTTTTTACCAGATAATCACTGTTCTTTCTTTTCCCCTCCTCATTCCAGGAACATACACAGTAGTTATAATAGTACTTTATTCCTATTATATGTCTCAGTGTAGGAGGTTTTACCAATACCAACTCAATGTCCACTTCTGATATACTTCTTGGAAGAGAAAATAACAAAATGACCAAGTAAATACTTCAAACAGAGTAAAATCAGCACAATAACATGTTACCTCCGAAAATAAACTTTTAGTCACCTGTGACAAGTTTAAAGTTTAGCAAGTCAGTCTTACAAATTTTGGTACCTCTAACTTGTTCTGTTGTTTCCATGCATTATTTAAAAGTAGAGCCTGAACTCAGGATAGTTTAAAAGATTTGTCTGTGTTTTGAATTGCAATGCCTATACTGGATGAACTATTTATACGTGTTTCCTGTGTTAAGGAACTGAAGAAAGTAACTACAGACTTGATAAGGTCCAAGGTCACATCTCAGTACAGGGTGGGAGAAGAAAACATCAATCTTGCAGCGAAGGAAAAACAGTTTCAAGAACTGCAGCAAAAAATCAGAATGGTATTTTGGAATTTAAACAAGTTAAATTTTTGGTGATTATTTTCTGGAAGTTATCTCTGATGTACAGATCAGTGACTCCTTTCTATTAACTCCATATACAATACAATGAAACTATTTCCAGCACAACCTTTTCTAGGGAAATAAATATTCTATGAATATCAGTATCATTTCATAGTTAAATAAAATGGGTAAGAAGACACTTCAACATAATTCAATTTCTTTAAATAGCCTCATGATGATTCGCTATTTCACATTAATACAATATTACTAAGGAAAATTGACACTAATTTTAGATGCCTTTTACTGTTCTTCATGCTCCTTTTTTTTTTAAGGAGACTGCAGTTAGTAAAAAAATTCAAGAAGAAAACATTCACATTAAAGAAGAAAAGCTGGTGAGTTAATACAGCTTTGCTGCTTTAAATAACTTAAGAACTCTGAGTGCTATATTTCATGTTTAAGTTTCTTTAATTATTATACTAAGCTACAAAAATTAGTTAAATTCAGTTGTTTACTCAACAGGAATATTTTAATAGTAGCATAAGTGGGATTTTACTGCTCAGATTTTAGAAAGAGTATTACCAGAACAAAGTCTATTTGTTTGTCACTTTATTTCATTTCAAGTCTTAAATTTTTGGTTTTGAATTCAGATGGGAGAAACTTGGTATTCCCATGAAACAGTTGTCTCCATGTCAGCTGAGTACAGATAAGCATAAAGGCTGGCGTAACATGCTTGTTGTTCTGCTTTCTGGTGGCCAACAGTTCACTATTTACCTTATTATTTATTATAATAATGGTTGAAATTGGTGTTGAAACCAGGTAAAATTGGAATAATTTGTCAATTGTATGCAAAGGGAATAATGTTCCATTCATACAGAACATAAACATTTTGACTGTAAAATGCCATCTACACTTGCCTGAACAGAGTTAAGACTCTCTTCTATTGCTAACTCAGGTATGTTCCAGAGCAAATGCTGGTATTCAAACCAAGGTATATGGAGTCAAGTATCAAACACAGCAAAAGAACCTTTGTTCCCTGCAATAACAGCATAATACACTGCTTTGCAGAATATTAAGCCTAAAAAGGGTGGTTGTTTATTTTGTTTTCTTCAGCAGTTGTAGAGTTTTCAGTCTACAGGGAACATGTCAGGGAAGTGTCTCATTCTTGTTCTCAGGGAAGGACAAAAGCAGTAGCTTGCTTGTGTACCCACAGAGGTACACACTGGAGGCTCATCCAGCAGCACTCTTCCAGTCTGTAAAACCCTGGTTTTTTAAAAAAAACAAAACACTTGCCAATAAACAAAGGGAAAAAAAAATGAGAGACAAATTCAGACCTCATTACTCTCACAGCCCTGAATGCTCTAAAAGCATTTCTGTGGAGATGCATGTAGCATAATTCACATGCATATTTGATATGTGTTATCTAAGAGAAGGACTCTGCTTTGTGTCTCTGTTTTGTTCGGTGTGAACTGCTGGGGTTGGTTTGGTAGGTTAGTTTTAACATATGGAGGAGTTGGGTATGAGTCTGGGGAGGGCTCTAGTGTAGAGATGCACTTTGTGTTTTCTCCAAGAGCTTGGGTTAGAAGACATGGATTTCTGTGTTATGGAGCACTAATAATTCACCATCTGGATCAGCTGAAACCTTGGCTTCAGTGGTTCTTGGGCTGAGGCTGGAAATGCTGCTAAATTGTAGCTGATTTGCACTGAACTGTGTACAGAGAAGCAATCTGGTCTAGTTGGGTGAACACTGTACTAGATTTAAAAATCATGACCAGCTCTGCCACTGACCTGTCAGATGACACTCCACAGCTCTGCAGTTCAGTTTTCTAGATGTAAAATTAAAGCAAAAATTAAGTGAGGCTCAGTGCAAAAACATTTATTTCTGCATAAGAGTATACGTGCATGAAAAACAATGAGCACACTCAAAATAATGATTTTATTTTAGTAGTCAGCTGTTTCTATGTATCCAATAGAACCAAAAATAGAGTAATTTGAAAGCACTTGGCAAGTATGTGAAAGTGTTTGTTTTAATAATATGTTGCTCTCAATGTATTTTGAAGCCACTGAGCACATTCAAGACTGGCTTCTGTCTGAAACTCAGTGTTTTTTCCTGTGCAGGTCATCTTTTAGCAACTGCTGTAACTGTTCTTTAGGGAGTAGAGGTTGCCTTGTCTGGATCATTCACTCTTGTCTTTGAAACCCTGGGAATGTGTTCTGTAGTGTTTGATACAAAATGACTCCCCCTCTCAGTTTTCAGCTAACTGCAACAAACTTAACAGCAGCACCCATGGGTTTGTAAATGCATGGCACTTTAATCAACTCATTATAGGTGGCTCTTTTTTTAGAATTCACTCTTCATGAAGTAACAATATACCTTCTTGATGAAGGTACCACAGAAGTTCACATAGTGACAGCAAAATCTGATATACTTGCACCATATGATGCAAGGCTAATATGTGACAGTTCACATCTATTAGGGTTTACATCAGGTGATACAGAATAATGTCACATAAGAGTAATCCATTAATGGAGTAATTTCTTTGGGATTTTCCATATTTTTCACAACTTTGATATGGTAACGTAAGATTACTCTGTCCTGAACTGAACTCACAGTGGGGTTGGATTTGATATATTTTATTTAGATTTGCACTGAAGTGTGTTTAAAGTATTAGTGGATTTCATTTTAATTATAAGAAAATTCTCTGAAAAGGAGTAAGTTATAGTAAGTCATAATAATGTTGTCTTCTCCAAGGCAAAAGGCCAGAAAAACTGGGCATTGTTTTGATTTCTCCCTACAAACTCTTCCCCAGTGCTGATTTTGGAGTATTTTTTTTATAGGCCTGATTTTGTAAACACTGACAGAAACAAAAAATAATCTAAAAGACACACATTAATGTTTAAACTGTAGAAACAAAAATCTTAATATATCCTCTTCTGTTTGTATTAACAAGGAAATTCTCAGCTCTCTCCAGTGTGTGCAGGAGCTCCTTCAGCGAATAACCCAAACAAATGCCAGAATGGAAAGTGAATTAAATGCACTGAAAGAGGAATATCAGGTCAGATTTTTCTTGATTAGACAAGCTGCTACTATCTTTTCTGTAATTTTTGAGTTCAGGGCTGTTAAAGACATCAGTGTGCTTTTCAGAACTTTTGACCTCACTTCCATTGCTCCCTCAGCTCCTTAACTGTCAGCATGAACCTTGAAGCACAGGCTGTGGTTTCCCTCTTTTACTTCTCTCCCAAAAGTAAATCATGGTTGCCATTCTTAGCAACCATTTCTGGAGGGTAAAACCAAAACATCTTTGGGCTTGCTTTCAAGTATTTTGAAATCAAATAATTTTATGACTTTTTTTTTCCTTGTAATTTGCGTATTGGTATAAATTTCTGGAAAACACTTCAAATTTCAGATTTTCAGTCATAGCTAGTGCTTGCCCTCAGTTTTATTAGAGCAGAGGGCCTAAGAAAGAGCATATCCTTGGCCCTTTCTTGCTGTGCTGTCTGGTGTCATATTTATTCTAGAGGTGCTAAGTGGTCACATGGAGAGTGTGGAGTTCCAGCACTCCTTAGTTCCTCTTTCAGCACATAAAAGTAGCTCAGAACAGTTTGGATTCTACATTTCAGTAGCAGATTGGCCCACGGTGCACTAAAGATTGAGGTCATATCTGTTCCCACCAGATGTGCCATGCAGAGTTCAGGTACAACCATTAATTGGTCTGTTAATAATTATTATCTAGTATTTGTCCATGCATGACCACAACTATTCCATTCTTTGGCCTGTGAGGCCAAGGTTTTGAACTAAGATAGATAATTTCAAATTAAACTTCCAGTGTGCATGTATACTTTTGTTTCTAAGTAAATGCTTCTATGCTAATTTTAAATAAGATTAACTTCCCTTAAGTCTTACTTTGATTTTTAACAGTTGTAAGTATTTTGCCTTATGCCACAAATATAGCACTTTTGCATCTTGATTAAACAAGTAAGGTTAAAGGTGAGCTATGTTTTCCATCAGAAACTAGCTACAATTTCTCTAGGAATTAAAAGATTAATTGAACAGTCCCTTGGCTGTAGAATTGCCTAAAGCAGCAGGATTTCCTGTAACTTCTCTTATTTATATGTTGGGTCCAGTGAAACAGCTGGATTCCTTGCTGTTCATACAATACTGTTTTCTGGTAGAGTAAGAAGGTAATGTGCTTTTTATTTTTTTGAGATCATTGAAATTACTTGGTAAATTAAACCAGCAGCTAATTTAATTGGTATATAACCTTACTGATGATGACTTACATACTATGGGAGCCCTTTAGAATCTTTGTGTCAGCATTACTGAATAGCAGGTGTATTCTAAAAGTGCTTTTTTCTGATAGTATTTCTGAGCTATTGTTTCCCATCTCAGATAAAGTTTATAGTGTGCCTTAAAGCTCCAGCTAAAACTGTAAATGGTATCTGTGAATCTTCCCTTTGAAGACTGCACATAAATGTCTACAAGTATAGCTTGTTTTCTTCTTGTTAAGGTATGAATTGAGTGCAAGTCTCTGTTGTGCAGCCTGTTCAGGCCAAAAATTGATATCTGATTGTGATTATACTAATTCTGATTGGAGACCCTGCTTTGGTTTGGGTCTGTTTATTTTAGATTGGGGAGTTATTACTGTTTCCTGCTGTTCCAAGTACAGCACAAACCATTGCTAATCACCAAAGCTTCAGTGCAGCCTTCAAAGGCAATTTCTTGCAGGCATAAGTACTTTAAATGAAATTGGTGTTACAAGACATGGATAACTAATAAGAGGCTCTTGGTTTGATGGTTAGTTTGATGTAAATATTCCTTCTTAGGCTCCACTGTGTCACTTAAGTTCAGCCAAGATTTGATCCCAGTTGAGTTTTGTGAGATGATTCTGTGCATTCTCAAAACCAAGATGTTCTCACTTGAGAATGGGAATGAAAGGATTCATAACATTTGTAAAAGCACATATGAGTGATAAGCTTTCATGAGAACACATCTGGAGACATAAAAGTGGCTAGATGTTTTAATAGGTCTATTTTTTTGTAAACATTATAAATACATGCATAAAATGCAGTGATTCCTTTAAACAGCATGATGTAAATCCAGTGTGATATTAAAAGTGAATGTCACAGGTTCTTGTTCCTTCCAGATGAACTCATGGGATTGTTTTGATTTATCAGAAGTGTCTGTCTTTCAGTTAAAACAGTGGTCATAAAATATTGTTGCTTTTTTATAGCTACTTGTTTGGCTGACAGTTTGATACAATTACCAGGATATTCCAGGGAATGAGACAAAGTTAGCATCTTATTTTGCATTGTCACTTTTTTAAAACATCAAATGAAACTTAAAAAATAGGGAGCTGAATATATAACTCGAACATCTATGCACTTTCATTCCAATTTGGGAACTATTGATTTCATCTGTATTGAGTCTAGAGCCTCAATATGATAAATGGGATCTAAAGCTTATGTACTACTCTTGTGCTCTGTTCCACTTCCCTGTCAAATTTGTGGGCCTTGCTCATCGAGCAAAAAAATGCCTTCAGAATAACCCAAAACCGAAAGGAGTGATTGTACAGTCCCGTGGAAATGTTTTTATTCTTATACTCACAAGAAATGACCATTTATTTTTAGGCTTAAGATGACAGAACACTTGCAAGGTCATATTCCAAAGGATCCTTTCTCATTCTGCCTATGCATACCTAGTGCTAGGATGCCAATGCCATTATGACTTCAGAAAAACAAGTTCTTTACCAGATAACAGAATACTTGAGAATGCCAGGAATTCAGGTATCCCCCCCTCTCTGCACAAGTGGCTTTAACATATGATCAGTTCAGGTATTTTGCCCTAAGAGCTGTGTTGTGAATAACTATAATATTCCATCTTTGAGGAGGTTGCATGTGAGATGCAAGTAAAAGCATCCTTGGAGTTAAGAGCAGGGTCTATCCAAGAGAGGAGGTCTTGGATTCCTTGTTTATACAACAGGATGAAAGATGCTACATCAGTGTGATTATTCAGGCTATGTATTGTTGAATTGTCTCATCTTTTTAATTGTATAATCTATCAAAGAAGGTCCATTATGTTCTTACACAGAACTTCTCCCAAGTGTACAAAAGTGCAAGGTAGTTTGAATTTTCCCAGTGTTAATATCTGTAAGACATATTTTTTATTAATAGTGTAGCTAAATTAACGCAGGCATTTTAAAATTGATGCTAAGTGAATCAAGTAGACTCATTTTTAGTTAAAAGATTTAGTAAAAACGAGTTGCTTTGGAGTCTTGCCTCTGTAACTTAACATTTTTCAAGTGGACTTTCAAAGAAGCTCAGCAGAGTCATAAATATGTAGCTGGCCATATAGCTGCATGCATTAAAGTTGTGTTTACATTATCAAGCATATAGCAGGTCATGGATGCAGTGAGTCTTTTATCTTCCATATTGTTTGCTAGAAAAATGTGATGGGATAAAAATTCCAAGAGTACCTGAAATGCATGTGAAGACTCTGTTGGTTTACACGAGCTTGCTTTGATTTATCACGGGAAAGCTGAAAGAGTTAACCCCAAAATGTTGCAAGTACAGTTATGATTGTATAAAACTTAGTATTACTGTTATTTCAGTGCACTCCTATGTCAGTGATCTAATAAAAATAAATTAAAGGATAATCAGATGTATACTTCATGTTCCAGTAGATATGTTTTAGAATATAAAGACTATACAGTTTATAAGAGAGGTTAATAAAGAATTTAGGACAGAAAAACTGTTCAGAAAAATAATTTTTTTTCTTTCAGTATACAGTAGTTTTTTCCTTTAAGTACAGCAGGTCTAGATATGCTACATTTCATATTTCTCATCTCTGGACTTTATATTACTTTTTCAGAACATTAAAACTTATGCAGTGAAACTGAATAATGGCAAGTGTTTTTATACCCTTTTATAGCCATTTCTTTTTTCATAACCTCCCCCTGTTCCCTGTTAGCTAAACTATAAGCACCTTTCTGTTAATTTATGAAAATTATTGTTGAGATAGCACATTATCACTGATCTGTATGGCACTTCCAGCATGTTAGAAGCAAAGGTCCAAGCAACATAAAACACATCAAAATTCATTAATGTGGTATTGATTATTTTTTGGATAATTAATTTTATTGCAGGCCCTTGAAAGAGATAATGAGCTGCAAAGGGAGAAGGCAAAGGAAAATGAAGAAAAGTTCCTTAATCTTCAGAATGAGCATGAGAAAGCACTAAGAACTTGGAAAAAAGATGTAGGTTTATTAAATTAAATGTTAGAGTATTAAAAGGTTTTTGAAATAGTCATCAAGCATTTCAGGCAATTCCTAAAAGCCAAGAAAATATTGCAGAAATAATACAATAAAACCAATTTCTTTTCCAGTAACACAGATTCTTCTAGAGATGAGTATTTTTTAAAGGTAGATTTAGGTTGACTTCTGTGCTCTAAAAGGTCAGTGCTCTTCCTGCAGTTCTGATTTGACAGGAATTCTTCAGTGTGGACTGAGGGTGAAAGGGGATAAGAAAAGGTGTATGTCTTGTATGTCCTCTCAGTGAATTCACTTCTGTCTACACCTAAACAATAATTTGTCTTCAATTTGACATTCTTTCTACAACTTCATTACTTTTAAAGAGTCCTTCTGTAATTATTTAATCCAAAACAATTAGCAAAACACTGTAGCTGTAAAAATTGTCTGCAATAATAAATGCATGTTTACAAGTAGGAAAGATTGATACCTCTTCAATAGGACAAGATCTGCTTAGTGTGTGGAAACCAGACTCTAAGCAGCATTTGTTTAATAGTCTGTCTTTTTTATTTCTATGTATTTGGCACCTTCTGCCAGAAAGGTTTTGATTGTGGTAGATGGATTTCCAGGGAAGCTGTGGGGAAATAATGCAAAGTTGTCCTTGTAATCCTGTTGTCTAGGGCTAACTCCTTTGAGTGCAGCCACCATGGAGATGACTGCAACCATGAGGCTACAAAATAACTAAACTGTTCTGATGCTCAGTTCCCTGAGAGAATTTGATGTCCCTGATTCCTTGGAGAGTTTTATACCATAGTTTCATGTATAGACATTGGATCTGCCCTGCTTATTTCTCAGGAATGTTTGCAACTGTTCTTTAGAAGATTTTTTTTTTCCTTTTCATATTTCTGCTATGGCTAACTAGAAATTTGGTCCCTTAAAGTATAGCAGCATCACTGGTAAAGTTAACATTATACACTGCTCTGGAGATCTTTGTAAATGAAGTGAAGGTATTTCTGTAAAATTGCCCTTCTTACAACTTGTGGTTTGGACCATCCTGCTTGTTCTAAATACAAAAATTTAATTGTTACATATTCACTGAAGAAGAATAGCCTCACCTGAGGCTATTTACAGGAGTAAAGTGCCAGGCAAATTATTTGCTGTTGTAGTTTCCTGACAGTGTAGGTAGAGAATCATGTTTATCTTTGAGCCAAAAAAGGAAGAAAGCTACAAATACAAACCTCACTTATTTTGAGTGTTGCTACTTGCAGTAAATGGTGGGGAAAAAAACCAAACCCAATTAATAAAAGGTATAATCTGTAATGGAAACGTGCTTAAAAATTTGATTTGAATTAAAGAGCTCAATTACTTTGTGCAAAGAAATTCCTCAGCATCTATACTTTTCTTTTAAGGATTTACTTTAATTTTCTGAGCTGTTGATACCCTTGTAAAATGCTGGTTTACATATCTGCACATGCAGTAAAGTGTTTGTGTGCTCTGTGTACTCTCAATTATTACAGGAGGAAAACATGAGAAGAGAAATAGATACTATTAAAAATGAGCTGAATTCCCTTAAAGGACTTCATGGACATCCTGAAGATTATCATCCTCCTCAGGGAAATCAGCATTCTGAGCAAGTGGAAAATCTGCAGGTAAGTGTCTCTACCAACTGCAGTACCATCCATGTCTTCTAAAAATTTTAGAGAATAAGAGATATGACAGTTTTTCTGATCTTGTCTGTCATGTCCACTGATCTTCCTTTGACATTGGTAAACCTAAAAATTTATCTGTGATATTTATCAATGATCCAAAATACTATTAAAATTTACTGTACCCAGAGAATGTTCCTTTTTCATCCAGAGGGGTGCTTATATCATAGAAACCTGAGATATTACTTCATTAATAAATTTATACATAACAGTTAGCAGTTATCTTAAACAACCCGTCTTCACTAAATCCTATTTCACAGACATATTTTGCAGGCATGTTTCTCAAATCAGAAGATTCTTTTTAATCAATATACAGGTTACAGAAGTTCTAGTTTTAGTTTAACTACTCCAACCTTTATGTCACTTAGAGCCTTTAAAAGGCACAGCAAACTCAACAGGTGATGAATATAGGAGGTGAAAGACTGTTTTATGTGGTGCAGGTTCAACTAGAATTGAGCTTGCATTGCTGGGTGAACCAAGTCCATGTTCAGCTCTGGATTCAGAGCACATATGAGAAGTCAGCAAGTGGTTAAGCACATGAAGATGGTCTTTTGGGACAAAAGGAAGAGCCCTGCAGCTCTGTGTTATCCCAAGATTAAACTGGATTGCAAATTTGTATTCCAGCTTTTTATAAAATTGAAAAAAATGGGAAGAGTCAGAAGCCATAAGAAACTTTCCCTGTGCAATGAGTGTATTCTCCTGTTCTGTTGAATATTGGTTATATTCATTAACTTTTACATCCAAATAATGACTTACCCTTCAAAGAAGAGAAAACTCATTTTTCATGTATACGATTTTGCTTTCAGTATTGAGGAAAATAGGAAGACACTAGGACTGAAAAGACAGATTATTTTTTTTTTTTAGAATTAGTCTATTAATTGTTAATAAAACTACAAACTGCAAAAATATTTTAGAATCTGGAAGAACTTAAAATAAATTTCTTCACAATGTATGTTTATAGCTCATACTCAAGCACACACAGAAGCATATCTGCTGCTTTGTGCTTAATAATGCAAGGGAAGTTAGACTTACTCATTGTGCCAAAGCTGTATGAACTCTATGTGGTATAATGCAGAAGGTGTAACTTTTAAAAACCATTGATTCCTTGAATGAAAACAAAATATCAATTCTGTTTAGGATGCAGAATCAATGCAATGAGTCGTTCATGATAAGCACTGTGGGTTTGAAAGCAGAAAAGCTTAAAGCTATGCTCATAAATGGAAAAAAAAGTCTGAGATGTCTTCTAAATATACATCTCACACTACCTTATGGCAAATTGCCACACCACTTTGTGTTGTACAATCACTAGATTTCCAAAGCTAGGCAGGCTGGACTGAGTCAAATCTCCAGTGGGACACTGCCAAGAAACTACAGGAGCTGCAGCAGATCATATTGATTGTACTGATTTGTGGAATTCCACCTTGTATCAGTAATGAGTCAGTGTGTAGTGAAACATAAAAGGGAAAGGGGTTGGCTGCAATTTAGATCTTGACTGTGGTTCCAAGTGTAGTAAGGAAATATGCATATATTTATTTTTACACCTAGTGCAATCTGAAATCCCTGCAGTTATTTGTGGGGCATGAAACTTAGAATGTATGTAAACTTCTTTATATCGATCACCTCTGGAATAGTAATTAAGCAAAGGGCCTCCTTAAAAGACAGATACAGTATCAGACCTCATTACAGACTTGGATTGCAATTTAGTTTAACCTTACCGTGCTTAACATTTAATTTAATATGATTTTTAATACAGCTGTGCACCAACAGAGAATAGGGCTACACCTACTAATGGGTTGCTGTAATTCTTTTGTTTGTATATGTAGAGAGGGATCTGGTTTTGAGCAGCTTTTGAATTTCCTAGTATGAAATAATCTGTTGAGGGAAAGGTCATCTTAGGTATATGTATGTAACTTATTTAGATTTTACTAAATCACAGGCAAAAAGTTAAAATCCAGGTTTAATAGTTTTGATATTTAGGTATTTTAGTTTATGCATCTTGGACCTGTTTTTGAAGGGCTGAACAGCCATTTGAAGTTATTGAAAAGTAGGTTTATTCAACCCATCTGAAAATCTGGAAAGGAATCGTAACCTTTTTGCCTTTCTTTATCCTGTTTATTTCAGATGCATTCAGCAGTTCAGCCCATGCCAACAAACATGGTAAGTTCCACTCCAGTAGCTGTTTTATAACTGTATAAAAGAGTTATACTGTGGTGTTTGGTGTTTCTGTCTAAGGAAACAGCTCCTAGAAGCAAAAGATTATAAAAGAGTTACAGCTTTCCTGAAATAAAAAGGAAATTTCTAGTATGTGTGTTCAGAAAGCTTGAAAATGTGGTGCCAAGGCTATACAGAGCAAAGAAGAAAAACTTAGAAAATAAAAAGATGTAGTGCATAAAATTTCCAAATCAGAATGACAGGGAAGCTGATAATAAAAAGATGTGAAAAAGAGGAAGAAATTTCAACTGAAACTTGAATTTGAAGGATCAGGATGTTTCTGTGACCTCTATAAAACTGTTTCTTGCAGATTTGTGTTCTGCATCACCTCCTCTGCCACCACTGCAGTAGTCCCATTTTTACCAGTGCTGTCCACGTGCCTCCCTCCATTTTGCAATACACTCTGTGTGTCCTCCCCACACATCCAGTGCCCAAGCACAGAACTTGTAGCCCCCTCCCACATCCCAGCCTTCCTTCTGCAACACCTCCACTCACCCAAGTACCCTCAGCTTTTTCTCACATCTTTTATGACTAAGCTCCCTCCCACACGTGCCTACTTTTACATCCTGTCTTTAGGGCAGGAGCCAGCACGTGCTTCTGTCTTCAGCTGCTGAACAGTTGATGAAAAAAGATGCATCTCCTTTTCCTTTTGTTTTGGTGGGGTTTTATTAAGTTGTTTCTTCACTATTCAGCTCCTAGTTTTCACAGAGCTTTATTGACTGTAGCTTTCAAAAATACACAAATACAGGTGCAGTAGTGGATCAGTGATTTAGACAGTGATGTAGACACATCCTTCAGGCTTCTACTCCTGTTGAATTTGGCTCAAATTTGGGTTAAAAAGCCACCTGGGAGGGAATGAGGAACTGCATTACAGGGATTACAAATTCCTGAGCCTTATTTGCTTGTGAAATTAAGTTAAAAGTCCTAGGTGGTTTGTTAGAAAAAATGGTGCTAATAGGTGTGTGTATGCACATGTGTTGGGTGTCAACAGCAATCCTGCAGGCTTTTCCTGCATGGAATTACTGAGCAGGTCACTGATTTGGCCACCAGAGAGAGGGAGTGATCCAGTCAGCACGTGTACAACACAAATTCCTTCCACTGAGAAATTCTGTCAGTCTTTGTAACTTTGTGGACTGTAATAGCAGGACCTAATTTCTTTCCTACTCTTCTAGGGTATTAGTCTGCTTTTTTATTCCCTCTTATTAACGTTAACTTTTTATACTTCAGGTGAGTGGTCTTTGTTTTCCAGCAGAATTGTAAAATTAATTTTAAGTCAAAGTCCTGAACTTTAGATCTAATCAGTGAGTGGAGTAAATTATTAAAATACGTATAATCATTTGTTCCCTCTTATGCTAGAGTGGTCAAGAACAATCAAAAGACAGTGAAATACAGGCTATTCAGAAAGAAAATGAGTTCATACAATCTGTAATAAGAAAATATGGTAATTGTGGACGTGAAGAAGAAACTGAAGTAAAAACCACAAGAGACCACTCTTCAAACACTGAGGAATTACAGACAGAACAAAGTAATAACCTTACATGGATAGCAGAGATAAGTAGTATTGTTGAAGGAATGATAAATGTTTGCAGGTACAGTGCATGATGAGAATGAGTTAAGTGATTTTGTACTAACAACAGGAAAATTCTTGGTGAGAGTAGTGCTCATCTGTGATAAATTCACCAGTACTTCCAGTGGCTGCCCTGGGACACTGAGAAGGGTCAGTGTGCTCTAACCCCTCAGGCTGTTGCAGTGTTCTGTGTGCTTTGTTCAGAAGGAAACAGGGCTTGGGAAGAACTGTAAGGTGTATAGAAATGTTTGAAAGCAAAACCAATGACCTTCCCTTTCCCAAAAGACAATGAAAAAGGCTGAGAGTGGTTGTGCTGCCCTAGGGCAGGGAAGGTCTGCTCATGTAGATGATATAACAATACCTATCACAATCTGTACAAAGCACTTTGTAACTCCAGTAAGTAATTTTTTGAAGCCACCTAAAGGAAATGCACTTAGTCTCTAATGCTCAGTCTCTAAAATGTAGCAAAGATAAGCAGAAGTTTAAAAGCTTATTAACTGCAAAGTGACTGGTTTAAAAGATCAGTGCTCACAGCCTTCAATGCATCTTTTGGAAAACACCCTTCTGGTATTGAAATGGCCCACTGCTATCAAGTCCCAGCATGTTGCTTTTGGTGTGTCCCTTAAACAGCTATTTTGGCTTTGTTTTCCATTTAGTTAAAAATGCCACTTTCAAAAATAAAGACAAATACAGTTGCAGTAGTAATGAGTGGATTAAACTTTACATAGCCTCACATTATTATGAAATAATGTTATAATTTCATTATGAAGACCCCTTTCAATAATAAGGCTGACAGATATCAGTTGAGAACTATTTCAACTATAAGCCATATCTAAAATATACAGAACGTTAATATATTTTCTGTTTTATCAGTTTATAAGTATTTTGCAAGCTACCATAGTGCAATACTTATCTTCAGTAACTTTTTGTTAGGCTTGTATGTGTAATATAAGATAAGAAAAATCAGTATCAATATTAATCTTGAGTCCATCTCTTTGGAAATTATGAACTATAAAAATAAAGCATTATATAACCTCTGGGTTATCATTTACCAACCCTACAGATTTACAAGTTCTTGAAAACAGTTCTAAGGATGAAATTAATGTTGCTAGTGCTTGTGAAGAAAAGCAAAGGGAGGCTTCTCCCAGGAATACCCTCTGCACAGATACTGATTTAATTACCCAAGGACAGAGCTTGGAAATGCATGTCACTGGGAGCAAAGAGGCAGAAAATCCAGGAGCAACACAGAGAATGTTAGTGGATGAAAACAACACAAATTTAGAACAAAAGCCACAGGCCAGCACTGAGCCATTGGCAGGAGGCCACACGCAAAGAAAGGCCTTTTTAGACAGTACTGAGCCTGTAGGTGCTGACAAGAAAAATGGGAATCAGGAGACCAGCTCCAGCAAGCAAGAACTGTGCAATGCTACAGCTGAATCAACTTCTGCTAAGGCAGACACAAAATCAGACAGCATACAACACAGCAAAAGTGTCCTTACACCTGAAGCTTTCAGTCCTGAGCCTGAAGTGGTTCTTTGCACTGAGAAGAACTCTCTGTGTGAGAGAAGTACAGGTGACCATCAAGCCAAGGAGTTAAGTTTTGGCATCCTGCCTTACACTAAAGAAAGTTCTCAAGCAGATTACCAAAAATGTAGCTTGCTGACCAGTGACAATTATGTGGGCAACAGATTACATAGAACAGAAAAAAACTTAAATTGGAGTGGTTTCCATAAACTTCCTCTTAAACAGATACATGCAGATGCTGAAGACAGAAATGATGCCAGAAACATAAACACAAATGGTGCACTGGGGAGCAGTGGAGTTCCAGCAACTGATGCTCAAAATCTGCCAACTGTGTGTGGTGATAATGCAAGTGGTGATGACGCTGTGAAAGAACACAGTGACAATATGTCTGCCTTAGCTACTTTCAATTTATGCCCCCCAAAAACTGAACGAGGAATAAATGCAGGTGACATGCCCAGCAAGCAGCCCCAACAAGACACTACTAAACAAACAGGGAATGCTACAAATACAAGCACGTCCAGTGCTGAAACCACACCTCCAGTAAAGGCTGATGGTCTTGAAATTGCTCATAAAAAACCCCCAACAGATAGAGCTGGTACAGATAAACTAATTCCATGCAAAACAATTAATGATGATACTCAGATACACTCCATCAAAAGTGGACATTCCCTGGAGATTAATAATTCAACAAATAACACATTGTTAAAAGAGAAAAAAGACTTGCTGAACAGTACAGTTCCAGGAAGGAAGTTTGCTGAGGGTCACCTGAAAGAATCATGCTCTTTACCCATGAGAACATCTGGAAATTTAGTAAACATAAGTGGAAGGTCATCCTTTGATCTTTCAACCTCAGATAAAAAAGCTGAGAAAACTCCACTATACTTCAATTTTTTAGACCTCGTTTCTTGTTCAAGAGTAAATCAAATGAGAGGTCAAGCTACATGGACTTCAGCCTCCAAGGAACCTTCCCTTTTGAAACTACCATGCTTGGTGGAAAACACAAAGGTTATTTCAAAAACACAGTGTCAAAATCTCAGTGAAAATGTGGACACAGGAGAAGCAGGACAAGGTGAGAAAACAATAAACATTTATGCTTTGAACCATATACTGAATAAGCTTAGAAAAATTATGAAAATGTGAAATTTCTGTATCTCAGTGTAGAAAAATGTAAACCTGACATTTTAGTTATATGGCAAAAAAATTGAAAGGTGCTATTTCTCTGTTTATAGTATGAATGCAACTAACAAGCTTTCGTTAGTTTAATTAGTTGATTAAATAATTTTTTCTCATATTTCTCTTTCTAAAAGAACATCAGTGCAATGACAAACTGAATTTTGACAGAGATTTCTAACCCTAATATAGAACATAATCTATCAGTTCTCTGCATGGATCTAAAAAACACTGAGCAGCTTTTGGAGTTTATTCAGTGCTCTCATTTTGCATCAGAATTTAGGGTAGCTAAACCAGTAGATGCTTCTTTGAATGGGGTTTAGAGGTGGTTTACTTTTTATTTTATTGTACATCTCTAATTCAGATGGACACTTCCAACTATCAGTGTACTGAACATGTGAAAAGACTTTATATTCTTTCAAGCTCTGGAAAACACACTGAGCTTCAGGAGCGCCCAAAGAGTTTTTTTTATCTCCTACAGTTGGCACTTGGCTATTATTTGTTGAGCAATATTTTGCATATGGAAAACAGTAAATATGAGCTTTATTCCACGTGTTTCTAAATTATTACTGAAATGTGGAAAAACTGTATTTTAGGTTTGTTTTGCAGTAACATTAGCTTCCAGATTACCCCTAGGTTTATTTACCAAAAGAGCCATTTCTAAACCCAATCTTTGAGCAAAGTAACAAAAGCATCATTTTTATTTCCACAGTAATCTGACTCCAATGCATTTGCAGATGTTCCTCTACTTCAGTAACTGGACAGAGCAAAAGACAGTACAAGTGGTGCCTTCCTTTCTCACAACAGAGCTTGCATGCAGATTCTATTCTTAATGCCTGCTGTAAGCTTAAAAAGGCAGGTCTTTTGGGGTCTTGAACAGAAAGCCCCTGATTTTATACAAAACTGGAGCCTTGAGTGCTTAGATGTTTTTCAGAAGAGCAGGACCCACAGTACAGGGTGTTTGTGTCTACTTGAGGTTTTGTTGGTGTAGTGTTTTCAGCTTTGCCCCTTGAACAAACCAAGAGAAGGAGGAACTCCCATCCCTTACTTTTGCAGCCAGTGGCAATGAGACAGAAAACCAGCAGTTTGGTTTCTTTACATTGTTCTGGTGTTATGAATTTAGCTTTGCAGGCAAATTTGTTTGTGTACTTGTGTCCTGCCTATGCATATTTGTGTTCAGATGCACCATTTTTTGAAGCTCAGTTTCAGAAGTATCTTTGTCCCTAAAACAATAGTGGTGGTAGCAAGGCAGCAGGACCCCAATCTCACATGGTACATTAATTCTTGTAGTAATGTGAATTTTGATTGTTATTATTCTTCCAATCAAATGAAAGAATAATAACACACAGTTATGTGCTGTTCTGCATGGATCTTTTCTGGAAGAACAGACAGCACTATCTGAAGTTCTTCCATGTGTTCCTCCTGCTCTCCTCGTCAGAAACCTTTCTGTATGCAAAACACTGGAATTCCAAGAAGTTACTCGTGACTCAAAGTTTATCCTAAGGAGTTTGTAGGGGATTTTAATCTAACTCTTATTCCCAAATGAGCTGCCTAGTGACCACACTTCTTGGATTCTAGTGAGGATCTTGGTCTGCATCCCAGGTGTGCCTCATTCTGCTTAATTTAGATAGGCCCCTACTTGAGCCTGCTCACCTCTCCGAATCCTGCACCTCTTTTGGAGACTGGAGAACCTCCCTGTCAGGGCACCTATGAGTCACTGCAGCTCCCAACATTTATTGTGGTTGGGTTTTGTATTGTTTTGTGTCCAGATCTTTTCCCAAAAGGCAAACCTGGAGTAGAATCCATGTGGATCCCTATATTTTTTTAAATTTTGCCATATGAAAGATCTAGAGGTGAAGAGCATTGGTGAACAAGCTGAGTAAACCAATCTGAGGGAATTCCTTTTACTGCCTTACCACAATGCAGTTTGCTGTTTAGACCACTCTGGTTCCCAGAGAGCAGCCACTCCACATCAGTAAACAGAGGAATGAACTGGGAATGGGATAGATCTTCCTGGAGAGTGCTTGAAGAAGAAAACAAACCCATAACCATTTTCCTGCCCAGATAAAATGACAGTATTCTTCAAGAACTATTACATACCCACAAAGTAACATGTATTTTCATAGCAAAACAAAGATTTTTACTATTGATGCAGTGATCACAGGCATCTGTGTAGTGACAAAACAGCTCCTGTTTGCACTGGAATTGTGAAAGTATGCTTGTGTTTTCATCCTGCAAGGAACTTGATATTGCTTTCAACAGAGTCTGTTACAGTGCATAAAACCTCTGCAGGACTGGACAGTTATACTTTGCCAAGATTAATCTACTTATCTGTCCTTCCTACCTTTGGTAGATGGCTACAGCCTGACCTCTTGAAACATTAGATACAGGCACTAACAAAAAAACCTCCTTAATTTTTTTTGTTTGTCTAAATGTTTTTTGATTGTCTAAAAAACTTTGTATTAAGAATGTCTTTTTTTATTACAAGTCGCCCTGGAATATCATGTAAGGATGGCAGTACTTGTGTATTTTACTATAATTATCAGAAGGTGAGTTTAAAATAAGTGTTTGAAAAAAAATGTATTCACTTATAATATTTAGAATACACACATTTTCTATAAATCACTATTTTGTCATTAGCTTAATATGTGAAAATGTCAGGAAACATTTTTAATCAAAGTAGAAACATACCACATCTTTAGAGAAAAAGAGATGCAGAAGTATGTGAAAGAAAAAAAAATGAAGGAGAAAAGCCTACAACAGAGATCCAGTGATTTAAACCAAAAATATTTGATATTTTAAGATCAGAGGTAAACCAGTTTAGTTACTTTACGATTAGTGCCTGGAGATTAAATTGCAGTTGTTACCATTTCCTTTTTGTCAATCAGGTTCTACCAGTTCTAACAGAGCTACCAACACTTTGAATACCTCTAATATCCACCAAGACCCCCAGGGAGACCCTAGTGAAGAATGGAATGCTATAGCAAAGACTTTTTATGATTCCTCTTTTCCCACAGAACATGTAAGTCAATTAAAAATATTGCAGACCAGACCTCAGTGAGCTAATTCCACAGATATTTGTACAACTGTACCCATCTGGATACTTTAAGGCTGAGTCAATCTCCAAAATAATATCAGAAGGGCAACAAGACACCATTTTTCACAATTTAAGGTTGATAGAAAGCAGCAGGAAAAAGTCACAGCATATGAATCAAACAGATGCTAACCAGTCTGTTTGGGAGGGGAGGAAGAGGGTAGTTCATTGTGGACCCTAATAAAAATCATCACCTACAGTAAAAGTAGGGGCTAAAAAAAAGATAGTATAATGCAAAAGTATAAAAACATTGTTTCATTTATTACTTGATAAGACTATGTTATTTAAAAGAATATGTAAAAGAACAAAAATTCAGCACATCTATGAATTAGAGCCTATCTGTTTATCTTATGCTGCAGTTCTGGGATGTCCTATTTAGTTACTTCTTACTATTTAGTAGGATGACATTACACAAATGTGTAAAAGCAGAAAATTAAATAGAAGCCTGTTGTTTCCCTGTAAGACAACTTCATCCAGGATGGCACCAGCAAGGGCATTTTCAGATCTGTGTTAGACTGGAGCCTGAACAGCTGTAACTGCTGTATGAGAATTTGACCTAATGCTAAACATATTATTCAAAAGTGATACAATTATTTACAGCTGCAGTTGACCTTTCTTTTTAGAAGAGGTTCTAGAGCTATTTCTCAGGTAGTTAAGGCTGTCTCTGGCTGAGGTCTGAGGTCAGGGTGTACAGTGTTTTCAGTGACAACATTGCCTGACTTCTGAAGACTCAATCAGCTCAATGCCATCAACGTTCACATTCCCTAAAATTTGGAAGACTGTTTTAAATTACTCACCTTTCCTAGTCTGACTCTATTTGTGAATGACACGGGGGTGGATTTTTCACCATGGTGGTGGTATTTACTGTGTCTCTATTTTACTGAGTGAACTACACTACATAACCTACAGCTGAAGCAAAGCTGTATTTCACTATCTGATTGTGGTTATGTCTGCTTTGTCACCTCCAAACTAAAGCTCCTTATCCAGTAGCTAAGTAAAAGTGGAGATGGACAAGAACAGAGTATTTTCCAAATACTTAATCTATGAAATCTCAGCCTGGGATATTGCAGGCCACTCCCTCCCTTCTCTGTTGGTGTCATTCTAGTACCTTCTGTCCTCAAATCCATCATTTTCGTGACGGAGATGAAAAAGCTGCTGGGAGATTAAAAATGGGCTGAGCAGTTTGTTTTGACTAATATGTATGATTGTAATTAGAGCAGACTTAAGCCTTCTACAGTTTGGGTAATCTCATTCAACCACAGCACAGTACTCTGAAAAGGGATAAAAGCTATAAACAAATGCTACAGGTGCACTCAAAATTCTAGTAAAAATATTAAGAACTGTTTTAAACATTGGTCTGTCCTTGCCTAAATACCAAGGTAGGAATAACCATCCTCAGCTCAGTTTAAACACAAATCCCTCAACGTGCAATCACTGTTCAGCAATGAATGGCTTTTACACGTGTCCCATATGTTGCCATATTAGTGCTGGCACTAAGACACATTTTATTTGTATTTTATTATGAAAATGCTGAGGCCTTTTAGTTTTGACAGCTGAGATTATGTTTTTATTCTAAACCCACTGTCACAGAACTATATTAAAATTATATATATCTATATTATATGTGTGTGTGCGTGTGACCTAACTGCAATTACTTGTCCAAAGAGGTCCAAACACTTGTCTTCAGTAAAATCCAAGTAACGTGGCATGGTTGTATATCACTAGAAAATTTCACTTCCACATGTGGAAGACCAAAATGACCTTGGATTATCAGACCAGGTTCAGCCCCACATGGAATTCCATAGAGATTTTGACTAGTGGCTTGCAATGAAATATGATTTATTTCTTGCTGAGGCCTTAGGAAAATTCTAGTGCTCCAATGAAGAAGTTGCTTCCTCGTGGAAATGGAGTCATTAAGGACAGTCATTATTGCCCTGAAGTATCAGTACCTTCAGCTGCATGGCAGTAACACTGTTACAAATGCAACAGGCCAAGCCAACAATTTGCATGAATTCTGTTGTTCACATTTCAAGCTTTCAGAAATGCTTGTGCACCGAGGGAAGGAAGGTTTTAGCATAAAATTCATGTGCTAAAATAGAGCAGGTGGCTGGTGCTGTGTTGGCCTCCACGAGAGCCAGAGGGTCTCAGACTGCAAGCGGAGAACTCATCGTGCAAACGCAAGTTTTTTTGCTCATCGAGCAAAAAACTTGTTTCCCTACTGTGTTGCCATCTGTCTTTGATTTGCATGAATATGAAGTATCTATCAAACAGTAATTAAAACTATTAAAAGAACAAAAAGATCTTTAACATAAAAAGCCAACCTATTGCAGACCTTGCATTAATGATTTTTGCTTTCTAATCTATACAGCGAAGCGGAGAGGGAGTTAACACTATAAACCTCATGGTTTTGGGTTTTGTTAATCAAATGCTTGCATAGCCATAGAAATGTCAATTGCAACATTAAACTCTTTAATTAAGCTATTTATTTTGCTAATCTGCATTCTCATACAAGGTTGTCCTTTTTTAGATCATACTCCTGTACTAAGTCTTACGTTAAGGTTTGGTTCATAAAAGTGTATTTGTCATTATCAAGTTTTCTAAATTAAATATGAAGCAAACACTTCAAATTAATTTTTTTTCCAACTGATTTATTGTCCTGTTCACGTTTCCTTGCTTGCTTAGTGCTTAACAAAATTCAATGATCTAAACACTTTGCACCTGAATTTCACTGGATTATCAACTGCTACTTTTGTATTCTGTCAGGTGAAAGAAGGATTTACTGCTTTACAGCAGAAGCAGAAGTCTTCTCCCGTGACTGTAACTCCAGCAAGAAGTGAAAAAGCACCCAGAGATGAGGACAGCTCTGCTCTTCAGAACTCCATTATACAAAGCCAAATAGAGACTGAGAAATTCCTGAATTTGGAGATACTTCATTCAGCAAGAAAAAGAAAATATGAAGAAGGCCAGTGAAAATGAGTGTCAGGAGATAAGCATGTCTTTTAGGCATAGCCAGATCACTTACCTAAACCACATTTGTAGAGGTATTCCTATAGAATATGGTATATATGTGTACTTTCACGTTTAATACAGCATATAAACATTTCTTTTGTTCAAAAATTGATACAGTTCCTACTAATTATGTTAGTTCTGTTTCTGCAATCAAATTCAAGTTACTATTGGCTTTGCCCAAAGTTAAAAAGTTCCTAAGTTAATGTTTTAATATATGTTAAGTAAAATTAAATGACTGCTTAACTGTACTCTTTTCCTGTTGAGCAGAAGTTTTGGCTGAAATAGTTCAATTCATTTTCTCTGCCAGACTGCTCAGTTTTCAAGCAAGATCACATTCAACTGTTTCAGAATACAATGGTTTCTACACTTACAACTAATTCCAGCAGTTCTGAGTGGCGGAAGAACAGAAAACTCTTCTGCTTCCCTTTACTGCCAAATTATTTAAGCATATCTGTCCTAGTAGATTCTGTATCAATAAGGTTTCTTTCAACACTGAAGCACCAGGTATGATTACAGAGATAAGGCAGCAGATCTGGCTTCATAAAGCTTCACTTCTAACTGGGTCACTGTAGTGGGTTTCTCCTCCCTTGGAAGGGAAATTTTCTCTTACTTTACAATTACTTGCACTACATTTTTTGGACCTCCCTCCCTTCCTCCCCACAACTCTTGCAAAGAAAGATCCTCATACTGTAAACCTAAACATGAACAAAAGAACCAATATTGCCAGTTTGTTGCTGCTAATTATGTAAGAAAATCAACAGAAGATATTTTCCCATGGTAGTTTTATTGCCTTTTTTTTTTGTGTTGCAATTTAAAATATTTAGCTTGTTTAAACCAATTGCATACATTTTTTAGAAACATTTCACAAATTGTCAAAGTTTTGAATAAAATTCCTCTGTACTGATATTACTAGGTCAAAAAAAATTCTTAGGTGTCTGAGAGACTGAGGAGACTGTTTTTCACTTGATTCAAATTTTGTTTCCAGGTGTTTAGAGTGTCATACAATTGCTGCCACTGCTGCTTTCCAAAAGTCCGATGTGTGCTGTGACTAGAGAAGTAAAACAAAATTGGAAGATGATTACAAGATGTCACACTCACCTCATAATTCTTTTACAGCATTACTTCACTCTCACAAATGGGAAAATTTTTATTTTCTCTACAGAAAAGGCTTCCCTTTACCAGTTAAGAGAATTCTGTAGCCTTCCCAAATATTTAAAGCAACAACAGTCATTAGTATTCTTGTCACTATTAGGTCATTAAATGAAATGTGCTGGAAAGTAGGACTCTTTCATTAAATAAGCTAATCACATTCAGTGTGAGCTTTAATAAAATTATGATAAATAGCAACTATTTAACTACCAGCAATTGATAGGAACAATACCTGGCTCCTAGTTAAAATATTCTACAAATGTAAGTGAAATAATTAGAACACACTAAGTTCTGCAAAATGCTGTGAAGAATTAAGTCTTACCTGACAACTACTTTCCTCTGTGTCTGATCTATTTTGCAGTACACCATCTTTGTCTTTACAGCTGCAAAAAACCAGTGCTGTTTTAAGAAACGTTTTCATGATAGTGCAAAGGTATTAAACATCATAAAAAACTGTTCAAAATGAGATCAATACAAACACAAGAACATGGCAGTTCCCTTAATATGTTTTACTGTTGGTTTTAACAGCCTGGTAGGGCAGAAAAGCAAAATGATGTAACAAGGTGAAGGTCATGCACGAACCCTATTGTTTTGTGCCAGTCTATTAAAGCAATATCCTGTACAGTTTTTATGAACTTCTCTCCCCTACAAACACATCCTGTTTTAATGACAGCAAACAAAACCAGATGACAAATTAAACCTGCAAACAGTTTATTAGTTCTGTAAAGAATCACATGAGATGCGGTTCCCGTCACCGAGAAGAAAAACACTGTTTAAGACCCAGCAGTTAGGCATGCCTTTAAGCACGAAGCTGTGCAGCTCTATCATGTAAAAAAGACAGAAAAACTAATATTTTTTCTGAATATTTCACATTAGCTTAGGAGACTGTAAGAGGTGTTGTGCATGAGCAGTGTGTAAAGGGTGGTACTGCAGTTCTTACCGTCGATAACGAACGCTTCGACATCATCAGCTCCGATCTGAAGTTCCTGTTGCATTGTGTCAAAAGAGATTTCTTTATTCTCTACAGCCATCCCCATGAAAGTAAGTAGCCTCATTTTTGCCATATTGTGTTCGTGCAACAAGCCTGAGTAAAAGTGTTGACAGTTTAATTAATTATAGTTCATATCAAGAATTTGCTTTGCACGCTATTTTTACTATAAAACTTCCAATAATTTATTTCATATCAATAAATATTCCACCTTTCCTTATCAACAGGGTTTTTGAGGTAAAATATCAAATCCTGCGTTTTCCTGCCTTTTGCTAAAATAGCTGTTTTAGTTGTGAATTCATCAAGACTCAGTCATTTTCAGTAAAAAAGTATTATCTACAAAAGTGAAGCACATAGGGGGTTTTTTGAGCAGTAAAAACATCACCTTAAGAGAATTTTAGGTGGTGAGCATGCAAGTGAATTTTTCAGTTGCATCACCTGGAAGAACAACAATGCACCAACAAATGGAGAGTACGTGGCTGGTAATGTCAAAACCTTCCTTCAGCCTCACCACTCACTCTCATGTAGTTTCTGGAAAATAAACCTCTCACAGTAATGGTTTAGGAACATAACATTGTGGTGCCAGAAGAATGTGTTTTGGTACTGAATTAACTGTCTGTACCACAGCAAAGCAAACATCACGAGCCCCATATGTGCTTACAGCATCCACTGTGGCAAAGAAAAGTGCTCTCCAAAACCAGCAGAACAGATACCGAAGTCAGGGTACATCTTTTACATGATGTTGCATGAATGGCAACACAAGGAATTGAGCCAAGGGCTTGCACATCTAAATCAGAGACCATTTTCTTGGAAAAAAGTCTAGGTTGGCCAAAAGACATTGAGATGAAACAAGGCATTTCTTAATCCTGAGTTCCATCAGGTACCAACTAAGACTCTGTGGAAGTTTCTTTAAAATGAATGTCACTCGTTTTGTTCCAGAATGACCTTATAAACATCCACATTGCTTCAGTAAATATTTAAGTTTGGAATTTATAACACCCATGCACTAACAGGAAAGCACATTAGTGCAGGGCATCATGTTGTGTTAATTAGCTGTAATTATGATGCAGGTTCCCTGTTTGGCACCGATTCAACAAAAATCACCATAATTCATACGAACGAGGAGCACCAGCAACTATACCTAACTGGGTTTAATGGAACTCTACAAGCATCAAAAAATCAATTAGCACACATTAACCCTAATTAACAAATGCAAATGAGATGCTGATTAACTTTCCGAAAAAGACTGCTGATAATACCAGATTAACTGTGGCCATGTTAGGGCGATTCAGTTGACACAGTTGTCAGCATTAATAAAACAACAAATTGTAACAAACTGATGCCACCTGTAGGAGCCTTTGCTTGCAGGGCTTTTGTGAGCCAGTTGTAACTGGTCCTGATCCAGGAAAGGTTACAACTACACCACTGAAATCCTATCATTAAATACCCTTTATTTTAAAGCCTGGTATCTTGGCAAGTAATTAAAAAAAAAAAGAAAAAAAAAATCTGTAAAGCATGGTTAAAAATTGGGGACCAGATTGTTTTTGAATGCCTCGTCTAATAACTGTGTTGTTGTGCCTACCAAAGTGCCCTTGTTTTTCAAAGGCTTGGCCGAACCGCTCAGTTCCCAGCAGTACCATCTGTGCTGCCCCCCAGTCTCTGCCTGTCCACTGCTCAAAGACACACAGAATTTCTGAGTACACCATATAAAGCAGGTAAGAAATCAAGGCAAGTGGAAGACAAGACCGTCTTTCAAAACAGTTACACAGATATTTCAGGATTTCACTAAGATTCTGTGAATCGCAGATACATTTAGAGTTCACACGCCGTGAATTCACAGAGGGAAACATAAACAGGGAGGCAAAGCAAAAGAAATCATGACTGTTGTGTATGATACAATTAATGCTACATATGTCTGTAGTTAATCTTCCATAAATTTATTCAAATGTTAGTGTAACATTCAGCAAATACTTCTGTGGACAAATAGCTAACAGATAAGCCATCTCAGTACACAAAAATAATTACAATATAAAACCTGCTTTCCCCTGAGAGAGAAAAAGCATAAGATGTCTGCACAACTAATGTTCAAGTACACGTGACAGAAAGTACACTAACCCTATATACATATTTACAAGCTACCAAAAACTTGCTGCTAATTTTATCCACCAAAAATCTCACTGATATTTCCATCATTTTAATCCCCAAAGTACCACCATTTTAAGCCTTGGAGGGTAATTATTCTCAAAATTGTATCACACTCCATTAAACAAAATAATGCATCTGTTAAAAGGCTGCAGTAAACTCTGTTTTATCAAAACTATGCCTTTCCTCAAATGCATTCAGCCAATGCTCAAGTGTCATTTCAAAATCAAAATTATAAAAAAATAAAAATCGTATTTTTATGGAAACATTTATTCATTACCAATATGTCAAAACCTTAATGCAGTAATAAAAAAATCTGCATCATTGAGCAATTTCTGCATTGTCACTGACCCCTGTCCTAAAAAGCTGGAATATAAAAAACGTAATTTTAATGCATGCAATAGCTTATGAACCAGTGCTCCTTTGAAACAGTCAATTACACATCAACGGGGGAGTGTCAAAGTGTTAATTACTACTCCTTTTTTCCACAGTGTGTAAATAAAGAGGGTGCTGACATTAACATTCCATCACATTGCTTCATGTGATGAAACAAATTAACTGGGACAGACTGTGGCTTGCCAGGTCTAATGCATCAGCACATGCAGACACACACACACACATACACACACAGTTTGCATGTTTTAGCTCACTGTTCAGCACAAGTATTTGCTGTTATATAAAGTTATTCATCATAAAAAAAAAATTAGAACAAGCTGGTGGTTTACTCAATAATGTTGTGATCTCAAGCCTAGCCCAGAGTATGAATGCACTAAAACTCCCCTCCTGAAAGCTTTAAGAGAAAAAACAGTGGGTAGAAGCACAGTTCTCTTCCAAACCCATAAACCAGCTTGGTTTAGTAGAACAAACCACAGTTAGATGGTCCAATTATGACCTAGCAGAGATTACAGTCTACAAACTCTAATCCATTCTTACAAATTCCTATTACAGTTCCTTGGCTTCAATAGATGGGCTCAAAGTGAAGCACTCTGTGACTTCCATATCTTAAGCCACATAAATAGTCAGAAATGTAATGATCTGAAAACTTACCAAGGGAGTCAATGAAGTCTTTGTTGTTCTGATAAAACTTGACATAGGATGCTAGTTTAGCACTTACAAAAATTGTCAAAAGCTAGAAGATGGAAAACAAATAGAAGAACAGTTTAAATATTTATCTTAGTTTCCCTCCCTACAGGCTGGACAGATGTAAACTACTGCTAATTGAACACAAGAATAAACTGTCTAGAGCTAAAATTCTGTCTCCAATAGCTGTGGACAATCTATGCTGAGCTTACTTCCTTTTCTCAGACTTGAAAGGCAGATTTTGTACAGAACTCATGTGAGGGCAGGACTTGTAAATGAGTTTCTGAAACTTTGAAAGGAAACATTCACATGCAATTTTTTTAAATTCTGAAGACATTAAAAGAAATAGCACATGGCAGCTCAGGATTACTGACAAAGATATAACTATCCCAATGGATTTCGAAAGACACTAATAAAACAAAGCACTCTATATGTATAAAACCATCTTGCTAAAAACAAAGTTACTTACATCGTGAATGAGTTCCCCTTCCAAAAATTTGACTGGTTTTAAGGCAAGAAGATGATCAAAGAGA